AAAAATAGATAAATTATTTTTTAATATTAGTAAATATCTGGCTCCCGTAAGCTTCAGTATAAGAAATAATATATAATTATATATTGATATCTTTCTATAATAATTTTAAATATAGATTTTGAAAAAAAAATATTACTAAAATAATTAATATTTATAAATAATCTTTATCAGATCTAGATTTTTTATTTATAATATTAAGAATTATCATTATCAATCAGAATAAGATAATCTAGTGACTTAATATTCTTAATAATTATTATTTTTAATTCTAGAACTATTGATTAATCTTTATGAATAAAATTTATTCTAGTACTTCTTTTTATAAAATAATTATATTAAATAATCATCTGTTTATACAGCTGCTGGTAATTTATTCTAATTTTTAATTTAAAAATCTTAGATTTTTCTAGCTTTTCTAATTTCTTAAATTTATTTATTTTATAATATATTTTAAATTTAGAATCTATAATATGAGCTGCTTTACTAAAAATTTTAAATTTTTCATAAAACATTTAATTATTTAATTAATTTATTATTATTTGTTAAACTATATATTAAAAATTAATCTTAAAAATTTCAAGGAATTGGATAAAAAATTTAAAAAAATTAGATATTAGATAGAGATTTCTGATTCTATAATTATTCGAAGCTCAGAAGTCAACTGTATATTTATAAATTCTTAATTAAATTAGTCCAGTCAGTTTATTTAAGCTCATTTAATCTATTAGTAAAATTTTAAAGCGATATTGAGATACTCATAAAATAATAATAATATTTTTAAGTTATATACTAGTTTTGATTACAAAAAAATAAAAGATTTGAAGATAATATAAAGTCTAGAGATTATGATAACTGAGAATATTATTAAAAATATATTTACTAAGAATTTTTAAATCTAAAAAATCTTTTCTAGTAATAAAATTAGCTTATTCTATTTATTTTTAAAATTAATTAAAATTTAACTAATAATTTTTTTAATTCTTGCTTTTATTACAAACTTTCTTTTATTAATCTATTTTTTAAATAAATTTCTTAGCTTTTTTTATTAATTTTACTAGCAGCTTTTATTTATTAAACTGTCCTGTCTATTATTGTTTTTAGTCCTCAGAGTAGAATAGATCATATAGCCTCCACGGAAGTTATGTAATAAGACATGGAAAACTAAGATCTTATAATTAATTCTTCTAATTTAAGAAATTATACTTATAAAAATTATAAAAAATCTTAGTTAATTAAATCTAGAATATTATTATCTTTATTAAAAATAACTAAATTAAGCAAGATATTAAAGAGATTCTGACTAATTATTGATATTATAATCATTGATAATAATGAATTAACTAATTCATATTAAATAAGATTAATAATATATAATATTTTATTAAGAATTTCAAGAATACTTCTTTTTTATTTATAAGACTATAATATAATAATTGTTATTTATTCTAAAATTTTTACCAAATAATTATTACAGTAGCTTACCACGGCTGAGATTAACAAATTTATATGAAATTATAAAAATATAATATTCTGCTGGCTGAGAGCAGCTAATCCCGATAAAAAATATTATAATAATTAATAATTTTCAGAGATATATAAGTGGATTATATAATAGAATTATATTTATCTTATTTATTTTATTTATTTTATTTATTTTATTTATTTTATTTATTTTATTTATTTTATTTATTTTATTTATTTTATTTATTTTATTTTTTTCTATACTTCTTTCTTTCTTTTCTTATATTTGATATTCTAGTTTAGATGTGCTAAATAGGATATATTTAACTGGTCTCACACTTATAATATAGAATATTATAAAAAATAGCCATACTGGTATTAATCCTGTTGGAAGACTCGATTGATATAAATTATTCATCAACAACTTTCTATTAACAGACAGAGCATAAGATAATTAATAATGATATTTAAGAAGATATAACTTTATATTTATATTTTGTGATAAAGATATATTCTTCACACTATATTATTATATTCACCCTTATACTGATTCCTTATTTAGTTGACAGGCCTTCTATTATGAGAAGTAGATCTTATCACAACAGAAAAATATAATACCATATAAAAATAATCTTGTCTGATTATGAAATTCTACTGCCAGAAATTCACTAGGACCGAGATAGAGTATAGGGACTATTCAGATAATATTATATAACTAATTTGATTTGCACAGTACATCAAATAAATCAAATATAGAACACAAACTCTAAGCTATTATATTAACATAGATAGTGATCAGGAAATTCCATAGAATTTAACAACATATTGATATCTACTATATTTACTTGTAAGAATTTATGTATTAATAACTGCCGTAATAGCTGAGATATATTAATCTGAAAAGGTGTCTTGTATAGCAGAAGTCCGTCAAATCGCCGCTTGCAAAGTACTACGTGGATTGCTGAGCCGGGCGGGTTGGATGGGATTGGATAATACCATAGGAGAGTCAGTATGCAGTCACTTGACTACTGCTATGACAAGGCTCTAGAAAGCTGCCGAAATGCAAACAAACAAACGTCCAGATATATGGCGGAATTGACTGGCAGAACATTACTCTATACTTTATTTAACCTAGCAAGAAAGTCCTTGTAGGCAATCAAATTATCGTGTTATCACCCACCAACTAAGTACCCGTACAGCAGCCATGCCGTCTAGTGACCAACAGAATGATACCATCGCCCAAGTAAGTTGATTTTAAGCATAATCAGGAATCGTACTTCAGTGGATACATATGCCCGAGAGCGCCCTTAAAGTATTGCTACATTCAACACGAAGATGCTAATCGCTAGCAACAGGCTTTCAAAGATATTACAAGGTATGCGTGCAAGACAATCAATTCTTGTCCTCATCTAACGGACTGTTCCCAGTGGCGAAATGACAGCTCTAGCGCTGGAAAATCATTTGGACACCCTGGAAAACAAAATAGAGGATTTACTGAATGCGTTTGAAAAGCGCCCAGGAACCGAACAGATGAGCGGGCAATGCTATAATCAAGAAGAGGTGACATCGACGCCTGCTCATGTTGAAGATGAGTTGCGAAACAAGTCCTCCAAGTGAAATTGTCCACTGGCGTCCTTCTCGACCACGCCCCTCTCTGTAATGATACCGTCAATAAGTGTGGACGGTGTGACATCAAAGGCCGGGTTCCAGACATCGATGCCATCGGCGGCTATGCGCACAGTTTCTAGTTCAATCCCATTGGTAGAATTGCTGGCACGCGGCCCTCTGACATTTGTGACCTCGGAGGCCGCACGTTCCTCGATTATGATTTCATTCCCGGATGGGGTGGCCAGATCAATTGTAGTAAGCGGTGCAGCGACGAGGAACTTTACACCGTGATACCTTGCAAGCACAGCGAGGCCATAAGTACCAATTTTATTCGCCGTATCTCCGTTAGCAGCCACCCTATCCGCCCCCACTACGATGGCATCTACCTTAGAACCAGACTTCGCAAGTAGAGCAGCGGCCATGGAGTCTGTTATGAGGGTGGCGGGGAGACGGTCGTGGACCAATTCGAACGCAGTCAACCGAGATCCTTGATTGTAGGGTCGTGTCTCGGTGCAGTAAGCATGGTTCAAATTGTCTGCAGACGCAAGGGCGCGGATAACCCCGAGCGCAGTGCCGTATCCTGATGTTGCAAGGGAGCTGACAGCGGGTTAGAACCGGATAACCTGCAGTTGAGCTTCGCTGTACTTACCCCGTATTGCAATGAGTGAGAACAGTAGCCTTCGGCTTACCCGCGGCATTGGCCATGATCCATTGGGCACCATGCTTTCCTATGTTTTTATTGTCCTCGATATCCTTCTTCAGCATTTCCTCTGCTGCTTGTATCAGAGCAGTAGCGACGCTGCGCCCGGTCGATCCAGGCCTTTGTGTATGATCACTCGCCACGGCCCTGAGTTTCCGAGCAGCATCGGCAAGATTCACTGCTGTGGGCCTGCTGCTCACGAGATAATCGAGCTTTTTCGCAATAAAGGCTTGAACCTCTGGGGCTTCCGAAGGTATGTTATTGCATGCCATGAGCCTATGAAGCTCGGATGCAAGAGCGAGGGCCGCTACAATGGCAATAGCGGGTGCCCCTCTTACTCGCATATCTTTTATTGCGTGCCATGCTTCCTCACTCGATTGTACCGTTATGTAACGTTCAACATATGGAAGCTGCAACTGATCTATAATAGACAAATCGCCATCATTATATCTGATTGCCTGTAAAGTCATGATTCGTTTTAATCCGAGAGAGGCAAATCAATTCAATACTTCTGAACGCTGAATGTTCCTTTTGAGGGCACACTTGAAAATAAACCTGTAAGTGAGGTCTGCAGCCCCGAGTATGGAAAGACAAAGTAAGGCACAATGTGACGTTGGTTAGATGGTTAGAAAATTTGAACTCGGAGCCTAACTTGCTGGTCTGTAACACAGCACTGGGTTTACCCCTCTCCGAACCTAGAATCGCACTTTTAACCGTTGGGTGGGGCACAGGTGCCTAGTCACCGCCGTACCTTATAAAGCTGCCTCTAGTCCGACGGTTGCCCCTCCATGGGCGATGGATGGCTGGGAGACTTGCGCAATGGAAGCAGCGCAGATTCTAAAGTATAACTATCTTTTTATTTGACATGTGTCTTATAATAAGAGCTTGTATCCGCTGATAAACTCATTAAGAGGCTGAAACAATAATCATTTGGACTGACTATCTGCGCTGGTCATCCATTGATAGAGAAGAGTCGCTTAAAGAAATTCATAGAATCAATGCGCGGATATATACAGCACTATGCGAGTCGAAGAGAGATAGTTAGACGTGTTCATCTCCTTAGGTGTGACATAACAAACCATTATTTCCACGAATGAAGGCATCCCCGTAACTGCGGGACAATTTTCCATTAACAAACTCTTCAGATTTCTCCAGAGCGATATTCATATAGCCATCTACCGATTGAAGTTCCCCTGAAGAGTTCGTTAGCATTTTAATATTCCTGTTCTTCGATTGTATCTATCTCCTGTCCCCCATAAGAGTGGTTCCCTTCTCCTGTACCAGGGGAAAAAGACACGATACTGGCAGAAATGGTAGGTAGAACAAAGCAGAATATGATCGTTCACCTTTATAGACAACGCCTGAGTTCAATTTAACAGTAACTGGGGCGCCAATGATTTCACCCAGAAAAGCTGAGGGATCCTTGCCATCAGATGAGGCACCGTTCTCCATTTTGTTGTACTTTCTCTCCTCCTATCTTTAAGCTCTGAACAAGGGCTGGAAATGCTCAGCAGGCGCTCGGTGTTGTAACCGGCAATTTCACTGATTTAGAAGTGATTGGTGGTATCGTCAGTCTTAGCCCAAAAGGGATTAGACGAAGGCTGGGGTCATACAGCACGTGCCTCTCCGGAAGCTGTAACACTGTAACAATGGGTACTGTTTTATCAAGTATTCCGTGTGACTGCATCTAGCCAACTACTCGGATTCATTATAGTTCGATTGATGTCCAATTTACACGCATTAATACCTTTCACCACGTCCAGTTTAGATGCGTTCATTCTTCAAGAAGCCTTCATGGGCAAGCAGGGGGGATGAGGGAACAGACCCGAATTTCTACCGTCATGCTGGCCAAGTCTATAATGACATTATCACTGCCAACCGAGAAGCACGTGCTAACCGACTGTCTATAATGCACGCACCAGAACACGAACCAGAGCACAAAAATTCCAAACGTCGACGTCTCTCCTGCGGACAGCCCCCCGCAGAAAGTTCATCAGGGGGCCTCCCTCACGATGAAGTACCGCGCAATGTGGAAACACCGTTAAACTCTAATGCTTCTTATAAGCACTTACAAGAGACCAATAACAACGAAAACAACAACGACAATAGTTGTGGTCCATCCGCAGGACTTTCATCCTGTGGCATCACAGCTGGAATTGCAACGGAGACTGGCGTCCAGTGTTGTGAGTCACCACCTGATGTGGAGCTCATTCAGGGTGGGACAACCAGTGCGCAATCAGAAGTTACGAAGGCAGTCGATGAGAATAAAATAGCTTCCGTGAAAGAGTCACATTACCAGAATGCCCGAGAAGTTGATGAGACTGTCACACCCCATAATCACAGTCTTGCCCATAATCAAGCAATAGTTCAGATCCTCATTACCTCAAAAATCCCAAATACCAAACCATTGATTGTCCGCCGAAAAATGAACCAACCTTTAAAGGATGTTCGTCTAGCATGGTGTAATCGCCAGAAATTCACCAAAGAAATGCAAGATTCGGTCTTCCTGACCTGGAAGGGTAAGAGGCTGTTTGATGTTACTACATGCCGAAGCCTGGGAATCCATACAAAAAGCGGTTACTTGAATGAATATGACACATTTCAGTTAGATGTGGAGGATATACAAGTCCATATGGAAGCTTCTACCGAAGACATTCTCAGCGCCGATCTATATGAATCACAGACTGTGACTGACACTAAGTCCAGTCCGGAATATACGTGCTGGGGCGGAGCAACTTCGTCCCCAGACATGATAATATTAAAGTGTCCTGGATTTAGCGATCTGAAGGTAAAGCTGAATATGGAGATGCAGGTATCAGAGCTAGTTGCTACCTTTCGTGCTGCTAGGCAGATACCCGCAACCCGCGATATACAACTTGTATTTGACGGTGACCGCTTAGAATATAAGGCTTATCTTGCAGACTACGAGCTCATGAATAGCGATCTTGTGGAGGTTATGATCAAGTGAACGAGTTACCAAGATGTAGGTAAAAAAATATGTTCAAAACTCTGTTTACAATGCTGAATAACAGTTTGTACTAGCCCTAGATTTCATTATTTATATTGCAAATTGTAGTGGTCTTATATTTTCTGAATTCTCTACAGTTTGGTCTCTGAAGTGAGTTTTATCTTGCCTTTAATCTTTCCAGGAATGAGCGGGGGAAGAGAGTCATAACCCAATATGAAACATCACATGATCCCAAGGCATTACACCATACCAGTGATTCTCTGCGCCATAGAGACAGCTGACATACGTTCTCAAGTCTGAATATTTCATCTTCACCTTTGTTTTCTCTACAGGCATGTGCTTGCCTACTACTTACTCCTAAATCGTAGCATGCAAGCTTAAATTTCGCCGAGGCTTGAAAAACGGCAGCCCATGTATGAAAATTACCGATAACGTAAGACACTAAAATTTTCCCACCCGATATAACCAAAGGGAACTTTGAAGGAACATGTAGGACCGTCGTCCACTTACTTCATCCTGGGTCAATATCTCTATACGAAATGAAGCTCATCACTGTCAATTTCCTAGCCTGTGCTGTGAAGGGGTGCAAAACAGCAGCAGCATCATATCCGCTGCATTTTCGAGATGCGGAATTAGAATTGCAAGAACTTGAGTTCCAGCCAGAGTTCATATTGAATATCATTCCTCGGATTGATTGGGAAGGCCTGCGAGTCATGGCAAATGAGGTGCGTGTACATTGATCCAATGCAAATCATACCATATGCTGTATAGGCCGTTTGAACTCACCCGGACATAGCTCGGTTTTCCCAAAATTCCTGACACTAAACCGGAAGGTGATGCGCTTAATGATGAGCAGCTTCTAAAGGAACTCCACAAGCTCTTGTTGGAAACACAAGTTGTTGAAGGAAGATTGTGTTGCGGAAATTGCGGCCACGAATATATGATCAAGGAAGGAATCGCTAACTTTCTTCTTCCTAGTCATTTGGGTCTGATAATCCTTTCCGGTTGATTTGTCTTTGGACCTTGCTGACCAAGCACAGTTTAAATACATGAGTCTGAGTACAAGTGAATTCGATCACTAGAACTCGAGATGCTTGTTCAGGAATATTCTGGTCTCTTATTGACAGGAATCATTTTGCATTCCGTCGGCGGCTTTGCATTTATCAAATCTGCCAACCGGCTGTCAACTCTAATGCCACACGTAATTTAAGGATGCAAGTCAATTTGGAACATGGAAATCCACGAATACCTTGCAGCTGGTCAACTCATATCATGAGATACGCACTTCGTTGTCATAAAATACAATTCTACCAGCCGGATGCAGACCCTTTTCTCGACCAATTCCAAAAGAACGCCGTCAGACTAATGCATCTATCTATAGATGGAATTGCAGAGCAAGACCGGGAAGGTACCGAGATTTAGGTGGGTGGGTATGGAAAGGGGGAGGGAGAAAGTGTGAGAGAAAGAGTGAGAGACAAAAGGTAGTGGGGAAGCTCTTTGGCATGGATTCACGAAACTCAAGTGGGAGCTTTAGTTGAGAAAACCTTTACACCCGGTCGAACCACAGAGGCACGGAATCCTGTCATCGCTATCCCACTCCCTCTCAAATTTGTAGTCATAGGTCAGCTCTTCGTCTGTTCATGGAGTATGTTAGTACCTCTTCAATCTGACCAGTAAATGTCCACTTACCCCTTTCGATGTCTCGTAATGCATAGATGACGATCCGCTTGCTGCCATCGACCTTGATTATCTTGGCAGTGCAATTGGGCGTACAGCTGTGATTGATAAACCTAGCAATACCACCCCTCTTTGTCGCATCTATAACCGTGTTTTCGTCGATACGAAAAAGGTAACTACTACCGATTCCGCTTTTCAGGTAGCGCCGTTCTCTCATATCTGCGACCTGCTGCCGGACCTTCTCACCCACATATTCAATGATCATGTCGTTGGCAGATATGTTCTCCTCTGCATAAAGGCCCCAATTATGGATGGCTGATCGAGCGAAACGAACCGGCTTCTTCCGTTTCTTCAACTGATTGAACCGGAGAACATCTCCTTCGCCGCTCTGAGTAGGAAGAGCCTGCTTTTGAGCGTTGATATCAGCAATGAGGCGGCGATTATTAACCCTCGTTGAACGGGAAGTGGACTTAGAGATCGTTTTTGCTGCAGCAATCCTTGCGGCTTCTGCAGCAACAGCGTGTGGATCGCTCTTCGCCCTAGCTTCTCGCTCTTCACGGGCCTTTTGAACTTTGATCCGATGCGGCAGATATTTCGATTTCTCCGACTCCAAGATTCGTTTTCTTCCCTCAGTTCTCGCTGCCCCAGTCGTGTTTGAAACGTAGTAACCGGGAATGATGGTCTCCTCGCGTACCGGACCAGACTCTTCAGGGCGATTAAGTGCCTTGATCTCCTTTTGTCTCCAAGCCCAAGCTGAAAGGTTCCCAACATTGGATCTCGAAAATTCTCGTAAAACATCACGAAGAAAGTAAAGGTCCTCTTCATCCTTGATTAAATTTTGCCAACCGTCGAGATCCAGCACAATTGATTCGTCGTCATCAACTGTTGAGCGAGGCTCGTCATTCGATACTCGCCATTCAATCTCCGTTCTAGGCTCTTCAGTCTGCTTGCCATGCTCAAGACTACCAACTTGGGATGCAAGATGGCGGTGGTCTTTGCCGAAATTTTTGAACTCGACATTAGCACTCCATGAGTCCATGAGTGCCAATGCATCATCTTCTTGGCCACGCCCTGCTAATTGACGCTGAGGGACCAAGGGATCCGTGCCAGTTGAAGATGGTTCATCTGCCGCTGCGATGACATCCTGCATGGTAACTGACCGAGATGGGGAGTATGTCATGTTTTGATCCTCTCCAGATCCTCCTGCATCGTCCATACCGAAACATTCATCGTTTTCTTTCTGTCTCTTCCGTGCCTTTGCTCGCTCATCATCCACCTTCCTTTTGCGTGATGTAGATGGGAGTCGGTCAGTGACCTGCTCGGGAGCCTCGTTCGGCGAAACGCGAGATATCTCATCTCTCGTGATGTCTACATCGTGAGACCTATCGCTATCGGTCTGCCTTTCGGCAGCAGGAACATCTAATGTTTCAGAACCGAATCGGTCCAAGTCTTCCTCTGAGTCCGATGTCTCAGAACTCATTCGGCTTGGGGCACGACTGTCTAGATCTTCAGTGTCCCTGGTAAAGGGCGTCCTTTGCTCATCGTCTGAATCGTCCACATCGTGTAGTTGCTGGAGACGATGGTAAAGTGGTCTTACTTCCTTTTTTCGTAAGGGCTGTTTTCTTCTCTCATCCAAGAACGCAGCGTTCGTGCGATCCAATCGATGCGCCTTTCTGATCCGGGGAAGAGCAAGTATATTTAGACCAGACGAACCCAGAGGATTCCTACTGGTTGACAAGTCGGAGCGTGAGTCAGGTGTGCCAGCTGAACTGTCGAGGTCGATGCGGAACATAGGCCTTTTAGCCCCTTCCGGCTCAGGAATACCCAGCCTTTCCCTCTTTGTAGCATGTCGAACTGGGTCAAGGTAGTCATACAAGGCCGGTGCGGCAATTCGAGACTTCACATCTTCAAGTAATTTGTCTCGTAGGTCCCGGATTATTATTGCCACCACCTCTCTGCAAGGGTCCAGATCCAGGGCACGTTGTCTCTTCTCTTCTTCCACGTCTAACTCTGTTTCCCTTTTCAGCCTGTCCTTTTCGGCTCGCTCTCGCTTTTCCGCCTGCAGTCTTTGGGGACTTGGACTTCGTTCGTAATTAGGGTTCCCATAGGGCTGACTCTCCATGTTCATGATGTATGTGAACAGGGGTTTCATATGGCACATCTTGTAGCATCTTTCAGTTTCTTCTTCGCCGCGCCTTGAATTCTCAAAAACAATGTAGTACCCTGTCTTATCGCACCGTATGTCTTTCCAATCGAATAATTTGAGCCTCTTCTTCAGGTGCGGAACGGTGGTGCTGAGCACCGGTACGTAACAGTGTGCGATGACAATATATGGGTCACGCTTGATCTGACTCAATATGGGTGTTTCTTCCACAAGTGATGGTACAACAGGCCTCAAAAAGCTTGCTCTCGGCCCTTCCGGGACTGGGACCGTAGGGCGCATTTGAGACCTTCCAGAAGGGCCCTTGGGGGCCGTCGGTGGAGGCTCATTATTTTTGGCCGAGATGCCCGTTTTAGCTTCCTCTGCAGTCAGAAGATTGTTCCTGTCCCCCATCCTCTGAGAATCAATTGCCCTTGTCACTATTTTTGCCGAGACGATGCCATCACGGTCTAGCTCAACCCTGATTCTGCGCGTTCCAATCCGTTGCTCCTTTTTGCATTCATAATAGGCTCGCCTGGCTGCATTCGCCGCGAGAACGGGCCCACCTCCCCTAAAAGATGCGCTATCTTTGTATTTGACTGAACATATTCCCAGAAATCTACCGGTTATTGGATCCGTGCGGTTGTTGATTTCAGAAATCTCTCCGAAGCTCGAGAACAACGCATTTATTGGGGCAATTGGAGTCAAAGGATCGAATCCGGTGACCACTATCTGTACCGGGGGTCCAGGACCAATGGTTGTCGAAGCGTCGTATGGCCAGTGTCTCAATGAGTAAGGAGCTGGCCGGAATTTGGTCTTTTGCTTGCAGCCACCACCTCGTGAATAATTGGAAATCTTTAGACGAGGGTCTGCTGGTCGATCGTCTTGCCCATTAGACACTATATCCACATATCGCGCTTTTCTTCGCTTCTCCTTCGAGGAGATCCGCTTCTCCGAATCAGGGTCATAGACCAACTTCCAGCCCCTCACATTTCCAGAAGTGCGACTCTGCGATCGGGGCGTTGGTGGGGTTTGTAGGGGCGTCATGGCGGGCTTCATATCGTCGGTCTTCATAGTGCCCGAACTATCCTCGATTCCGTTGGCTATCCTTATGTGAGATGGACTGAGCCTCTGAGCAGGCGAAGACTCCGCGTTAGTGAGTGGCGTAAGCGTATCCAGACGCGCTTCATTCCCATATGCCGTGCTATGGTTATGTGTCGATGGGCGGGAAGCCGAAACGCTCACGCTGGCAGAACTTGCAGGTCCATCGCCATTGACAATAGGCAACTTGTGTTCCTCTGCGTAAAGACTCTGTGTCAACTCAAGGATTGCCTTGGGCTCTTCAAGGAGTGTATGCCCTTCATCGCTATGATCTTGGTCAGGATGGGCCTCGGAGCGAGGCCGCTCCCGGATGCTCTTGCGCTTTTGCTGGAGGACAGACGGTGCGGTTGGGAAGAAGTCTGCAAATCCTGCTGATGAGCGCGACATGTTGAGAGGTGGCTACAAGCCAAGACCACGACAGCTCCGACCAGCAGGTAGCATCCTTAGTAGTTGTATATTATTCGGTGCACGGATTTATTGGCAGGAAATATCCTGGGCACAAGGCGGTAACGCGAGAAAAGTAAATCAGTAAAGTCTGGAGAAAGCGGGTAGAATCGAGAGAAGTAGGCTCGGGCGGAATTAGAGGAAAGGAGGGTTACAGAAGGGGTGGGTTTACAGCTCCTGGGGTAGAAAAATCAAAATTAAAGAGGGTATGATCGAAGAGGGAAGGTAAGAAAAGAAAGCAGAGAGAGGCAGTACTGATTAAGAGGTTAAACAATCTCGTTTGCCCCGTTCTGGTGAGCCCCTACCAACGCGACAGGAAAAGCGCGCGGAGAGAGCGATTCATGGCAGGAAATAGCTTGCAAGGTGGCGGGGAGCGTAACAATCCATGTGCGATTGCGATGGACGGCTCAACAAACACGGCTGTCGGCTAGGAAGAAGGCGTAATACACGAATTGGAAAAGCGCAAAACGAAAGGGCAGACAAGCACTGCACATTTCCATAGTGTCTGCGAAGTTATAGGCGTTTTTCCGCGTTTCGACGCAGACTATCTTCCTTATGCAGTTTCTGCTCTTAATACGTACATTAGGGGTGCGGAGTACGCAGCGATAGGTAGAAAAGCCATCCACTATACTTTGTCACCTTAGGTCCATTGCTCCTGTCTACTACCCCAGAGGATGCCTAACCAGAACCTTGTCAACCGTTATGTAAAATCGTCAACTCCTACGCTAGTCCTGTGCCGATGTTATCCTTTGATCATTTAGCGTATGTGTGTTACGTGCTGTGGTGACCTTTCACTTCGCGAAAGACATCGACTACCCAGCGGACGGTAAAAGATGTAGATTCCATCCCAAAGTAAATAAATGTATGCATATTTAGCAGTGCATCTTGATGTCACGGCTCTGCATGGCACTCCAGAAAGAAGAAAGACCTGGCGTTCAAGATCGGTTGGCATGATGATCCTGCTGTTCGCATCCGTGGCTTCATCCTTTGACAAACTTGTTTTGCTGTAATGCAATTGCCGTCGTCATTCCAATATACTTGGTTTTACAGCCTCTGGAGATACAGTGTAGTATGGAACTACATCCAGCTTGTATGGCTTGTGCTATATACAATAATTATGGTGAAGTTCAAGTAAGGAACGGTGGTAGTAGTTAATAGGACTTGGACCTGAGCTTCAAGTCCAATGTCTTGCAAGATTGGAACCCTTCCGATTTGTAACAGCTTAGACATACTGATGAGACGGTGGTGAAGTGGACTGTCGTCCCCGCGGGCTAGTGGGCTTGGATTTCAAGGTATCACACCAAGCGTGTTACTTCAACGACTCCTGAGCTTACCAGGCTACAATGGGTAGGATGAGTGATCTAACCGATAATGGTGTAGGTAGAAGATACTACATAAGCTTGTTAACTTCCCTTGGGCGGTGGCGAGGCACTTGCACGGGGCTCGCGGGCCAAAACTAGTACTTAAACATAGCAGTAAACTATAATAGTTTGCCTCTCTTAACTTTCATCTGATTCTGTGCTTGTAATAAAGATAACACTATGTAGAAATATGATTAGGCTATCAAATTTCCAGACTACTCATCGCACATACTTGCATCTGGAGGGGCAGATATCTATGCAGCAGATTTTAATGCGAGAACCGCGAAGAAGACAAACCCTACACACGCAAATTACCAGTAAGAAGTTGAAAGCATCAGCCTCCAAGGCCGCCCATTAGAGCTCAAAACCCTACAGCACTGAGGTGTGGGGCTTCTAGTCCGTATCGGTATCCATCGCACAGCAAGGCAGACTATTGGCGACGCTGTGTGCGGTACTCCATAAAACTACAACTTCGCTGAGAACACCATAAATGTTGTCGGGTATGCAGAGTCCTATATTGTGCGACAACAGATAGCACCATAATAAACCTTAAGCTTTGACTACTGTATACAGTGACGTAGTCCATCTATTTACTCCTTGCTTCCTGGAATCCGGATACGAATCATGAAAGATATGGAGTATTGCATGTACATGTAGGCCACTTCTTTGTTTTTGCCACTCAGTCGGCGGTGTGCCTGCATGCTCGGTAGGCATTCTGCATCTGCGAAAGTGTTATTAGCATCAGCTATAATAGTTTTTTGTACGTGAGACTCATGATCCAGGTCTCATTGAATGGCCTGTCACATATATAATAAACCCCATGCTTTACATATCATGTCCATACTTAGAAATATTGACTTGCCCAACCTGCTTGAACACGAGAGCTCGGCGGCTCCTGAAGATTGGTTTGGGATCTTGTTTGGTTGAACCACTACTATTCGGTATTTGGCTTAGGAAAGGGGAGCCTCGAGTTTCTGGTTCAGTTCCCCATGGGTCAGATGAAGTACCCAGGGGATACGCACGGTGGCCCCTTTAAAACACATCGCGACAAATACCCCTCCCCCTTTTCCCACTCAATTATCTCGGTTCCCATGGGCAAGTTCACACCAGAGGCAAAATCTAGTGTGGGATGCGACTCAAGAACAAAGAGGGGCACCCTCACGATTTAGGGCCTCTATCTGCTAGGTTCTTTGTCCTAAGACACATACATAACTACTACCGACATGGGTGCTGCACCTGCTTTTACCTGCCGTCAATAACTCGATTAGTTGCATGTTCCAACTGTAGTAGTAACATGTCTTTCAAGCAGGTCACCACTACCATCGGTAGGGAGGGTGAAGTGATAGTATATTTATTACCTAGTACTGAAGTTATTATTAGAAACCTATGTTTAGAAGTCCCCTAGATCATATACTCCGTCTCAGCATTAGAACCAGATCCATGGCGTCAGGGAAAGAATTTGCCTAACTTGACTAATAATAGTTAAAAGTGGAGCGCTATTCTGACGATGCAGGTGGGGGTGAGTATTCTACTTCGGTATCTACTGAGCAATTCGTACAAGCTAGTACAATAATACTCAATCGCTACCTTGGATGCGGATGGTCCTGGCCTGACTCAGGTCACGGGTGAAACATACCAGTCGATTGTGTGAGGCGCAGGGTGGGCTTATTGGCTGCTACCTCATTTGACGAATGGCTGAGTGTGCCTATAGCAGCTTCCCTGGTCTGTGTGCCAAGGTGGGTCGATCTCACCACATAAAACATAACAGCTCCCCCTCCTTTCTACCCTCCCAATTGTTTGTTGATCCCAGTGAACCACCTCCTCAACCTCTCCGTGTCCTTTCCTCCTGATTCCTCCTTCTTTCAACTCCCCCTTTCATACCTACACACTTGTTCATCACTCCTTTTCATAAGTAGTAAGTTACATACATTGCCGAATGCAATGTTGTCGGTGTCTTGATTAACATTGTTCTCTTCAGGTGAACTCCTTTCGATATCTAGACATAGTGTCGTCTTCTTGGAACATCAAACGGTCCCCTAGTCTCTCCCACGCCTCCGAGTAATCACATCAAAAAATAATCATGTGGTATGTATGGCTCCAAAGCTCAATTTGTATATTGCGATGTCTAATTCAAACTTTAAAGTGGCATTTTCGGCTACATCAACTACCTTGTCGAAAGAGACCGCAGGTTCATTCTCGATACTATACTTAACGGTCAGTCCCTCTCCATCGTGCCAGCCTCCATCAGGTCTCACATCGCTCCGCGAACATGTCCTATTACATCTTGTATCCTGACATCGCGTAGGTCTTTCTAGACTCGAATACCGCGGTTATGATTCAGCCGGTCTCGCAGTCGATGGCGACAAGAAGAAGGAAGTCTGTGCCTTCAAGGAAGTTGGCAAGGTCGCTAAGTTGAAGGAACTCATTGAAGAGTCCAAGCCCGATTTCACCAAGACTTTTGAGTCCCATGCTGGCATTGCTCACACACGCTGGGCTACTCATGGTACTCCGTCTCGCCAGAACTGTCATCCTCACAGGTGGGTTCACTGAATTTACGTCGGTTGGATTAGGCTTAGGAAACATGAGACTAACACATGCCACCTTCCAGATCTGATGCCAACTGGGAGTTTGCTGTTGTTCACAATGGTATCATCACCAACTACAAAGAATTGAAAGCCTTGCTGGAGAGCAAAGGATTCCGCTTCGAGACCGAGACTGACACGGAATGCATCGCCAAGCTTACTAAGTATCTTTATGATCAGCAGCCAGACATTGACTTCACGGTGTTGGCCAAGGCTGTTGTCAAAGAACTCGAAGGCGCTTTCGGTCTCCTCATCAAGTCTGTGCACTATCCTCATGAAGTTATTGCGGCCCGCAAAGGTTCCCCGCTTGTTATTGGTGTGCGAACTTCAAGGAAGATGAAGGTGGACTTCGTTGATGTGGAATACTCCGAAGATGGCCCCCTCCCAGCGGAGCAGGCTTCTCAAAACGTTGCCATCAAGAAGTCTGCTACTGGATTGCTTGCACCTCCTGACAAGTCACTCCTGCACCGGTCCCAGTCTCGCGCTTTCCTTTCCGATGACGGCGTTCCTCAGCCAGCCGAATTCTTCTTGTCATCAGACCCATCAGCGATCGTTGAGCACACTAAGAAGGTCCTTTACCTAGAAGATGATGACATTGCTCATATTCATGAGGGACAGCTGAACATCCATCGTTTGACTAAGGATGATGGCACGTCTAATGTCCGCGCCATTCAGACCATTGAACTTGAGCTACAGGAGATTATGAAGGGTAACTTTGATCACTTTATGCAGAAAGAGATCTTTGAGCAGCCCGAATCCGTGGTTAACACTATGCGCGGTCGACTGGATGTCGCAAACAAGCAGGTCACACTGGGCGGTCTCCGGCAGTATATTTCTACCATCCGTCGGTGCAGAAGAATCATCTTCGTAGCTTGTGGAACCAGTTACCACTCATGCATGGCTGTGCGTGGTGTTTTTGAGGAGCTTACTGAGATTCCTATCTCAGTTGAACTTGCCTCGGACTTCCTGGACAGACAAGCGCCTGTGTTCCGTGACGACACATGTGTCTTCGTTTCCCAGTCAGGAGAGACAGCCGATTCCCTGATGGCCTTGCGCTATTGTCTCGAGCGTGGTGCCTTGACTGTTGGTATTGTTAATGTTGTCGGCTCATCCATCTCCCTCCTGACTCACTGCGGTGTGCACATCAATGCTGGTCCAGAGATTGGTGTCGCTTCTACGAAGGCATACACATCGCAGTTCGTGGCCATGGTTATGTTTGCACTCTCGCTTAGCGAGGATCGGGCTTCCAAGCAGAAGAGACGCGAGGAGATCATGGAGGGTTTGGCCAAGGTATCAGAGCAATTCAAGGAGATCCTGAAGCTCAATGAGCCCATTAAGCAGATGTGCGCCAAGTTCTTCAAGAACCAGAAGAGTTTGCTGCTGTTGGGTAGAGGTGGCCAGTTCCCTACGGCCCTTGAAGGTTAGCAGGTTGATCTTTCCTATAATCACTCCTCAGTTAACATGATTTTATAGGTGCGCTTAAGATCAAGGAGATCTCCTACCTGCACTGCGAGGCTGTTATGTCAGGCGAACTGAAACACGGTGTCCTTGCCCTTGTCGATGAGAACCTACCCATCATCATGATCCTTACGAGGGATAACATCTTCTCAAAATCACTGAACGCTTATCAGCAAGGCTAGTCAATCCTCCGCTCCAATCCGTAAGCTTTAGTCACTAACCATCCTACAGTCATTGCCCGAGGAGGCCGCCCTATCGTGATCTGCAATTACGATGATCCAGAGTTCTCTGCCGCTCAAACAGAAAAGATTGAGGTCCCGAAGACGGTCGATTGTCTTCAAGGTCTTTTGAACGTTATTCCATTACAGCTTATTTCCTACTGGCTTGCAGTGGGAGAGGGTCTCAACGTCGATTTCCCCCGTAACCTCGCGAAGTCGGTTACTGTTGAATAGAGAGCGACGAAGCAAAAACGATAGATTCGTGGGCACGAGACTGGGAACTCTCAATTAATCCATAGGGTCTCTAAATTAATGATGTTAACATATAAATCCTGCAGTATTGGTAGTTTTTACCCATGATTCTCCTAGTTGCGGTTTGCTTCTGCCTCCCTGCTGTTGTAATCGTCTGTCTGAGGTGTGTCCGACGTTTTGTCGCATGGCAAACCGTAGCAGCCAGTAGTCTCCAGCGATTTAGCCTTGCACATATCGAGTCGAATGCAATAAGGTGGGCTTCCATGGGTTAAGAGTGAGGGACCTGGGGACATCTTATTACATCAGTAAGTACTGCTAACTAGATAACTAGCTCAAAAGATCATTATCCTTGATCCAGCGGGGTAGACTTCCGTTCCCCACTTTGCGCCGGAACTCCCACTTCTGTTGCACATTGTTTGTCTGTCTCATCAGTTTCCCCGAACACCATCTTCCTTCAATTTGACAACGGTAGCCTATTAGGACCAATATCTGGAAATTTCATTACAGGATTCGGACGTGATGACTTCTCTGTCTCTGAAAGGCCCAGGCGCTGCGCAGACATACGATGGTAATAACCTCTTTTCAGGATGATCGTATGATTAATGATCCGTCTGCTAAATGATGGAATCTTAGGGGCTGGGCTACGAATCGCCATTGTCCATGCGAGGTGGAATATGGGCATAATTGGTCCTCTCGTGGATGGGGCTAAGCGGAGCCTCCTTGCAGCTGGAGTTTCTGAGAATAACATAACCGTCCACACTGTTCCAGGCAGTTATGAGTTGCCCTTCGCCGTGCAGAAGTAAGCATAGTCATCATGTCTTTTCCTTCTCGGGCATTTCATTGGAGACTTCGGAGACTGATGCTGACTTTGTACGCTGTCAGGTTATACGCGGCTTCCCAGATTGAAGCTTCCAAAGGCTCAGCCTCGGCGCAAGGCATCAGTGCCACCGATTTGCTGTCCTCCTCTACAGCGGACCTCACGAAGGCATCTCCACAGTCGCCATCTTCCGATACGCCTAGACCTTTTGATGCCATCATTGCCGTTGGAGTGCTGATTAAAGGGGAGACTATGCATTTCGAATACATCGCGGATGCCGTCTCTCATGGATTGATGCGTGTGCAGCTCGATACGGGAGTGCCGGTCATCTTTGGCGTGCTTACTGTCTTGACTGAAGAGCAAGGCTTGGAAAGAGCCGGCCTGGGCAAAAAGGGGATGCACAACCATGGAGAGGACTGGGGTAATGCTGCAGTAGAACTTGGAGCAAAGAGAAGAGACTGGGCTGAGGGTAAAGTTGTTTAGTGGACCTTCAGCAAGGCATCGATTTCTTTTCCGTTTTGAGTTGGTTCGAAGTTGATTTACGGTAATCGATCACCTCTACAAAAGAAGAATAATCGATTGCTTTACGTTGAAGATCGGAACCTTGATTGGCGGCCTTAAGTCACAGTTGCCATATAGCATACATTCGTTTACCGTGCATTAAGATATGAAGGTCACATGAATAAGGGCAAAATAACGAGATGGATTATTCTTTGACCGAGTTCCAAGTGTAGGGTTAAGGCTATAAAGTTCACTCCTCCATCCGTTCATTCTCGTTCGAGTCACCCTTTGTTGCGTCTTCGTCCTCATCCTCTCCCTCCAGAGCTCTCTTTGCTGCCCGCTCTGCCTCCTCACGGAGTTCTCTAGGTACCTCCTCGTGCCTCCCCTTTGTCGGACCATCTAATGAACTGATCCAGGTCATTTCCAGTTCAAAATCCTTGTCCTTACTGTCTTCATGGGCGACATAAATAATTCGAGCCGCTTCCTTCACTCCATCGAGAAGGCTCAGTGTGCCGGAGCTCAGGTCGAGTTTCTCAAGCTCAGCCTTGGCTGCTTGTCTCCCTTTCCCGGTGGCAGCGCCATAATAACCCTTCGATAGCGTCAGCATCGTCTAAAAGCACCTTTGTAGATTGCAAGAACATACCCAGTACAGGCCGCTTGGTTCAATCATATATAGACCTGGGCCCCCAGTCTTAGCGCCCTCGACCTTACCACCAGAACCCGCCTTGGGCCCACTTCCGACTTGACCGTCGACAGCAAGCTCGGCTTCGGAGTCCCAGCCTCCGACAATAGCGGTCACGCCAAAAGGCCTGACACTAGAGTAGAGTGTGTAGGCTTGCACGTAACTCCCAAGGCGATTGGATAGCGCGGAGGTTGGAATTGGCCCTTTGTAGACACTTCTCCACGATGAAGCCTCGTCACGGGCCCGAGAAACGAAATGTCGCCCGTCTGGCACCAGTCCGGCGGAAACCTGTCATGGAAGCAACATATTAGCACGACAGGCCCCTAAAAAGCGTAGATGCCCACTATATGGAATCAGCGTGGATCCTTACAATGCCAACGTGACGATCAACCGTAGCTATTCTCTTATTGGCGCCAGGCTTCAGAAGCTTGCTGGTAATGATTTTCTCTACTGCGAGCACAACACCGTCTTTGCACCTGATACCAATGGCTGTCCCTCCATTCTCTACCGCCTTAACGGCATATTCTACCTATTTTGAATAGTCAACAGAGCCGCGTCTGCTATGAAGGTGGAGGAAGGCGAATGGATACCTGGAAGTTGCGACCATCTGGAGAGAAAACTGAGTTGGAGAGATCGTACCCAGTGCCAATGGAAGTCTAGGTAAAGAGATAATCAGTTACAGAGGAACGTCGACTTGGGGATTGAGAAACGAACCATGGCTGGTGAGGGTTGTTCAACACAGATTCGAGTGATAAGAGTAAAATCAGAAGATAGGAGAATATCGACAAGATCAAAGTGATGAGTTACTGGGGACACTTGAAAGCTTTCACACAAGCAACGAGGCAGATAGCGATGTGAGCACTCGGGTAAGGTAGGTAGCTAAGGTACGCGTAGTTAGCAATGCCTGCCTAAGCACGAACAGCTGAGTACATCATCCCCTTCCTGGTATAGGCTAGTGTCTTGCCGCTTTTACCAAGCCCGACGCTGTCATGTGATGCGATCCCTGCAGCTCTGCTTGGCCCCACTCCGCTGGGTTGCGATAAGGACTGAACAAGTCTCACTGTATCGTTCCTATACATACTATAATATAGTATACTCTACTTGACAAAAGCTATTGCACAGCGCTTGCGCGCCACAATTGATTGGGGCTTCGATGTCAACGCATACAAGTTTTCCACCCGGTCAATACTTTCATATTCGAGGGGATACCGGTATGTACATACCCGTATACTAATTCTCTGCATGTGGGCTGGCATGTATTACCAGTCTTTATCCCCGCCGGCTGTCTCCTGTCGGCCTGAAATCGATCATCTTCTTGAGTGACGTAGATGGTTCTGTCAGGACATAACCAGCATCCGGTGGGTGGTCAGCCGCGCAACCTTCTATCAGTAGGTAGGTATTTTCTACTCTCTGTGAACCAAGAGACTGTGAGACTGCATGAGTAAGGTACTGATTCTACCGTCTTTCATTATAAATGCCCAACCATGTGTCTGTTTCGGGCATCGACCTGTGTTTCAGTTGACATTTGACCAATGTTTCCCGCCACCTTGCTTGATGTTTCCTATTTATTTTTCCAATCCACGGAGCACTGATATCCTTTACTTACTCTGCTGCTTGATTCCCTTCGGCTAGAGGGCTGTATATCCCAAATTGGACCTGGAGCTGTATAGAGCTTCAATATTTGTTCCCTCCCACGGCTTTGCCACCCGCCCTTTCACTTCGAGAACACCGAGCAGGAGAAGGTCAAGCGTGCATCATACATCCTCCAATTTGCACACTCCAAGAACATAGACGATATGTCTTCATCCATATTGCATAGCTGCCCCTGCTGTGGGCAAGTTACAGATATCTCCAATGCACTTGCTGCTTTCATCGAAAACCCCTATTGTAGCCAGGTAGATACTTCATATATCTAACTTTATGATTCTATAAGCTCTCTGACCAGAGAATCATGCAGTGCGGATTGTCCGCTTCTGAAAGCGATTTGAAATTACAAAATGATCTCTCAGCACTTTTCGAAAAGCAAATGAACCTAGAGATGCCGTTATCACCCGAAGGGAGCGTGGGAGCACAGCGGCCTGCTCCCTCATCCCCAATTGTGTATAGCATCACGCAACATTACCATCATTCTGCGCATGTTGCTCAACAGAATGCTACTCGTTCCTCAGAAGGAGTTCCTCGCCGCGACCCCAATGCTGCCGTCAACGAGACACTCCGACAGCACAACGTGGACCCCTCAACACTCTCAGCCAAGCAGACGGAGCTTTTTGAACATGCCATCCCAGAACAACAATCACGCCTCATCCAGATGTGGCAGATCTCCCCAGAGCATAGCTATGCAGCAACTGGCCACGCCAGCGAAACCAGATTGCTGAACCAGGAAAGGTCGAATGTAGCCAGTGCTGTTGGCCATGGCCCGACTCCATTGGATTGGGCAGCCACAGGTGGTGATCGTGAAATGTGCGATGTACCTGACCGGAATGAGAATGGAGATGATGGACACCTGTATGCTGAGCCATATATGGTAACTGGATATGAGGCGATAGCCCAGGAAAGGAATGGAGTCCCTGCAGCTCAGCCCGCACACCTCGTGGCTGAACCAACAACCGGATCACCATACAAGCTTTCGAGTGACCCTATTTACTATGCTCACTGTCGAAGATGGTGGGAGCCTACACAGCAGAGTTCGGTAGAGTATCAATACGGTCTATTCGACGAGATGAACCGTCATTCCCATTGCGGCTTAGTGCAACCTCGTTAGATCGAGTGTACAAAGATAGCTATGGCGTTCAATCCCACTATTTTGGTAGTTATTGCCTAGATGATGTTACCATAATGACGAGCATGCGAGTTTCCGAAATGGCCAATACCAAGAAATGTTATGTTTGATAGCTTTATGTTTTCCTGGCTCAGTAGAATTGTAGGAACCAATTAGATAGTCTAGCTGATGCCGTCAAAGATTATATGTGCTTGTAGCGACTTGAACTACGGAAGAAGCCTGCCAACTATAGGCAAGCTGTAGAGGAAGAGAGAACATGTTAACAGGTTTTTGTAGTACTAATTTTCAATAAGCAGTATATGGCCATGGGGGCCCACAGGCAACTTCGTAGACATGACGAAACTATGCTCCCTCTATCTCCCAAGCCCCTTTTGTTCACCATCTCTTCCTTCTTCCTCCCCAAGTTTGAGCACCTCACCCATTCGAGGGCCACTATAGGTATTCAATCAAGGTCTGAACCGAAGGGAAAGGGCTCAAAGAGGTAGTTTTAGCTGCCAGCATCCAAAGGAGTCGGTGCGGTAGATATATTGCGGCAAAGAGTGACTAGACAGTACGCAGCACTTGGTTTGCCGGTCTTCGATTCGGCCGAGTTATAGTATGACCATTTGTAGAAGTTTTGGATTTCTTTTTTCTGGATTTCAAGCCAAGCCCTCCCCAGCGACAGTATAACAGTTTCGGGAGAGAATATGACGTAGTTCAAAAGTAACATGATGAAATAATATGTAGCAAGAAGAAGATAACGAAGCCCGATTCTGATTGCTTGAGTCCTACAAGACTGGCGACGGGCGAGAAAGAGAGGCATGGGCTTGTTGGAGGCAGTGACCCAGTCTACTGGAAGTCGGACTCATCGATATCTGCCATAGCCTCCGCAAAGGCATCGGCAGAGCGCTTGACTTCACTGCCGGCTTCGACAGCCCGCTTGATCTTGTTGCAAGGTTGGCCAGGCAGGACACACCATCTCTGAAGGGTCTCGGGGGTGGCATCTGCAATGGCTTCAGCCAGAGCATCGGCAGACCGCTTGACTTCTCCGCTAGCATCAGCCGCACGCTTGATCATGTTGCATGGCTGGCCAGGGAGGACACACCATCTCTGCAGGGCAGCAGCCTGCACAGTAGTGGCAGCAAGAGCAGCGAGGACAAGAGAGACGAGCTTCATTTTTAAAGAAATGTGAGGGGGTTTTTTGTTTTCTGAAAGTCAGATAAATTGAATTTGAGGAATGCTGTTTGAGCTTTGGCTTGTCAGTTTGTAGTTCTTCAAGATTGTCAAACATAGAGAACTAGAGCCTTTATATAGATTTTTAGAAAGCCCCAGAAAATCCGGGCCAGCTCTACCTTGCTGTACATCAATAGAACATATCGCTATTCAGGGGGGTCCAGAGCCTGAGCTAGGAAAGCAAAGGTAGGAAGCAATGACATCGTCCTTGAATAAAGCACCAATTGAACAGGACGACAACACATCAGTCAATAAAGTAGATACGGCTACTTCCACAGTGTATTGAATGACAAGGCAAGAGAAACGAGCCAGAGTTTCACTCGATATTGCCACCAATAGAGTCGAAATGATGGAATAGGGCTGTCTCCAGTTATGACTATCCGTTTGGTGTTAGCTACCAGCCTCAATAAGGAATAAAAGGAAGTAAATTGTATAGTAAGGTTGCGATAGAGACCCAAGGGTCAGCTTTGAGGAAGTTTCTTTATCCACCGTCCACTATGTTCTCTACAACCTCATATTTAGTAGTATCGCAAGCTTGCCCTGCCAAATTTGGGTGTCAATAACACTCAGGCTTAAGAGGTGGTCAAAATATCAAGTTTTCGTTCTTTTGCCAATAAGACAAAGTATGACCGGATTCTGTCATCAATAAGCTATTGAATACTTTGACCTTGATAAACATGAGTGGTTGTGAACAAAGCACCCGCTCTAGTTCCGCAAATCGGATGTTTTGAGACCCTTGACGAGGACCGGCATGTGGCGGGTCAGCCGTGGTTGTTGTTCCTTAACCATTACGTACTTTCTGGAGACTTTTCCCCCATGTCATGAAGAGAGAAAAGCAAGATAAGATCATGTGGTCGTACATCCGTTCTCCCTTGTGAGAATGTAGCGTAGGTAGAAGATCATGTACGTATACTGGACTGGAACCATTTGAGTCGAATTGTTGGTCGGGGTGATGATAGATAAGATCGGCCCGCGTGAGTAGTTGGTTGTCCGACATGTTCTTGAGTGGATGCCGAGACGATCCGCCGTTTTTTCCGGTGTCTCGTGCGTGCATCGCTGGCTTTAGGTCTTTTCTCGCCGTCTCCGTTTCCGTCTTTGTCTTTCCTCCCTCTCCCTTCCTCTCTCTTTCTGCTCTCCCGTCCGCACGTTTTTGGGTCCCCTCTCCTCTCTTCCTCCTTTTCGGTCCGTTCCATCTTATTGTCCCCTTTCCTCGACCCCTTTGTCTATCAAAATGTTCTCTTTGCGGACGGCGCAACCCGCGCAGGTAAGTCGATGGTTCCTTGCTTTTTGACCGATCAATTCCTTTGTCCGACCCGACTTCGCTCGCTCGATTCCTTGCCCTTACTTCCCTCCCACCGCCGCCCGCTACATCCTTTCGCCCGGCTGAATTAGAGAGAAACGCCTGGGCGCACTTGGAATACGATCTCCCACCTGCTTTGCTCAATTGCCTTTCGTTGACGATCTACGATTTTGATTATTTCCTATTCCCTCTAACGCGGTTATGCTTGGCAGTCTTTGCTCCGTCGCGTTGCGGCGCCGACTTCCTTCCGTTCCTCCATCTCGGCAAGATGTGCGTCAGCCCTTCCATTCGCATGCAGTACCGTACTGCTAGAGACACATGGTTTATTGACTCTATAACTCAAGCCTTTGCTAGCGTTCAGTCCGATATCTTCAAGCCCACTAAGTATGGCGGCAAATACACCGTCACTCTTATCCCAGGTACCTACATTCGTCTCTTTCACAACTTGATCATTTTGCTGATGCTTCGGTGATTCGCTTTCTTGAAGGTGACGGAATCGGAGCCGAGGTTGCTGAATCGGTCAAGACTATCTTCAAGGCCGACAACGTTCCCATCGAGTGGGAGCAGGTAGATGTTAGCGGTGTTGACACCGGTAACAAACACTCAGAGGAGCTTTTCAAGGAGTCCATTGCTTCTCTGCGCCGTAACAAGCTGGGTCTCAAGGGTATCCTCTTCACCCCGGTTGAGCGCTCCGGCCACCAGTCGTTCAACGTTGCTCTCCGTCAGGAGCTGGATATTTTCGCCTCTATCGTCCTCATCAAGAACATTCCCGGCTACAAGACCCGTCACGAGAATGTTGATCTTTGCATTATCCGTGAGAACACCGAGGGTGAATACTCTGGTCTCGAACACCAGTCCGTGCAGGGGGTTGTTGAGTCCCTGAAGATTATCACTCGCGCCAAATCTGAGCGCATTGCCAAGTTTGCCTTTGGTTTCGCTCTTGCCAACAACCGCAAGAAGGTTACTTGCATCCACAAGGCCAACATCATGAAGCTTGCGGATGGTCTTTTCCGTAGCACCTTCCACAAGGTCGCCGAGAACTACCCGACTTTGGAGGTTAACGACATGATTGTCGACAACGCCTCCATGCAGGCTGTTTCCCGGCCCCAGCAGTTCGACGTTATGGTTATGCCCAACCTGTACGGTGGCATTCTCTCCAACATTGGTTCTGCTCTTGTGGGTGGACCTGGTGTTGTCCCTGGTTGCAACATGGGCCGCGACGTTGCTGTGTTCGAGCCAGGCTGCCGTCACGTTGGCCTTGACATCAAGGGCAAGGACCAGGCTAACCCTAGCGCTATGATCCTTTCTGGCTCTATGCTTCTACGCCACCTGGGATTGGACGACCATGCCAACCGCATCTCCAAGGCCGTCTATGATGTGATCGGTGAGGGGTGAGTTTCAGACTTTTGTTTCAACCTTCCAGCTTGATTCAGAGCTGTCGCTAATGCGAAATTCTCTAGTAAAACGAGGACCCGCGACATGGGTGGACAGGCTACCACCCACGAGTTCACCAGGGCAGTCTTGGATAAGATGGAGGCTGCTCTGTAAATTATTACCCACTTGAAAACCGACTTCCCACCTTGCATGTGGTACCTGCTACAATTATGATGATGAGAGCTTGTATAGGCCAGTGAAATGTTTTTGTTTCTATTTGTAGACCATGTCTGGCCTTTCTAACTGTCTCTATAATCTGTACCCCCTTTCACCCCATTTGACGCAACGACGCGCGGCGTCGGACACAAAATTGTGTGCTATGGCGTGTAAAACTGTACACAAACGTTTGAATTTGGAAGCGTGCCTCTTCAATATCTTGGACGGCTCAGTAAAGAACCCAGTAGACAGACGACCACCGGGGTATCCAGTGTTTAGTAGATACGAACCCCAACGCCCTGACATTGGTGGTGATATTATCCCCTTTGGGACAGTATTAGCTCGCCCGGAGACAAAGAAACGGCGCAAAGGAACCTCCAAATGGAAGAAACTCAAGTGGTATGCAAACGTGAAAATTATAGCCGCGTACCTGTTGCCGGGCCCCGCTCTAGCTCTCCAGCAAAGGCCGACACCGGAACGCTGGATGCTTTTCAGTGCCAAGTGACAAGCACAGGAAGATCCGCCCATATTATAACGGTCTGTACTGGGGTGAGGATGTGATGGGATTATAATAAGCACATAATGATCGCGCTGCACGAGAGGGATCAAAAAGCGGGACGTCGTTTTCTGCCGGTGTACTTTGAATTCGCCTTCACAACCTTGCCTTTCCGAGTCATCTGCTCCTTTTTTCGCAAAATCCAAGCCTTGTCACCCTTTCTCGATGATGCTTGTTTGCCACGCTCCATAGCCCGTTTCCGGGCGTCCACAACATCCACGTCGTTCATGCCATTGACAACACCGGTGATGTCACCTTGTAATCCACCCCCTCCAACGGTGAGCACGAGGTAGAGTTTGCTGTTTTTTGTACCCGGGTCATCTTCCAGTATACCAGCTCCAAAGCCAGCCTTCATGGCAGCTCCACTGATCATGCTCCGCTGAGCGTCGTTCTTTGGATAAAACTGGCAAACTGCACGACCACCGCGCCGCAGACTAGCATAGAGACCCTCAAAGAAGCGACGAAGACGGTACTCCGGACTAACATCACTAGACTCCGCATTGCAAAGCCACTGGATAGCACTGATACTAATGGCTGCATCGAAGGTTCCTGGTCGGAACGGCACTCCTTGCCCGATGTCAGCAAGAAAGAGGTCGCCATCGACACCGCGCTGGAGGGCAACATCGAGCATGCTAGGCGAGATGTCCATGCCGATCCAAGTATGCGGGCCTCCGTCTTCGGGAGCCACCTGTGAAAGAATCTCGCCGGAGAGACCAGAGCCGCAGCCAAGATCAAGTATCAAAGAAGGTGATTTCAGGTCCAGGAGGTCGAGTGCCCGATGGGTCATGTCGGACTGGATGTTACGGATACGAGACGAGGTAGTATATTTTCGGGACTCATTATCATCATAGAATAGATCCGGAGGCCTTGAATTGTTGCACTTTGTCAGTGATATATTGGCCACTGGATTTCCTCGTAATCCGTCAAGGGTCACCTACAAGACATCTTCAGGACGTGACATGTTTGCGATCAAGTCCCCAAGGGTTTCGGGCGGTCAAATAAGCAGAGCAGTTCTTGGAATCTGGAAGAGGGGGAGGTCTCAACTTTTTTTTTGGGACTTACTTTCGTCGGGCGGAGTGTAGCCGCGGGGGCTTGGCATGCGGTCCGGTGGTACACCATTTTTAGTAGCCTGAGGCACCAAGTACGGTCCAGATCGGCCAACTGGTTGCTCTTGTTACATCTTGCCAACTATCCGATGCTTGATGCTACTACGCCCATGCCTATCGATCTGATCCGGTCCACAGCGCTCTCACCCTCGACTTCTGCACAATGTGGATCCTACCCTTGGTAGGGTATTTGGGGGTCATTGTCGGGTTCGCTTTCCTTACCTTAGCGATAGGTATGATATGCCCGCAATGCGCGCGATGATGATGACGACGACTGGTCTTGCTCTCGTCACCATAGACAATAGGACGAGATGCCAAGCTCACATGACTTGTGATACTATCTGTATTCATCAGGCTGACCTGTTTCTAGCCTCCGGCCTTTACTACCTCTCGGAGCTTGTGGAGGAGCATACAGTTCTTGCCCGTCGGCTGTTGTACCGGCTGATATACAGCATCATCGCCGTTCAGATCCTCCTCTACGTATTTGACCGATTTCCTTTCTCCTTGACCGCCCTCAGCATCGGCTCGCATATCGTATATGCCAGCAATCTCCGCCGGTTCCCCATAGTCAAGTTGTCCGACCCTCTCTTCATCCTGTCATGTGGGCTCGTCGGTTTGAATCATTGGCTTTGGTTTCGCCATTTTTCACAGCCATTACCTTCATCGCGCGGCGCCACAAGCTGGCGCCAGCCGTATCAGATTAATGTGGAGGATATGCCCACCTTCACGGAGGTTGCGTCTTACTTTGGACTCTGTGTCTGGCTGGTACCATTTGCGCTCTTCGTCAGCCTCAGCGCGGGCGATAATGTCTTGCCTACTATGGGCTCCGAGTATGCCACAGGTGACCGTGTGCCTACTTCGGGGTTTACCCCGGGTACGTTTTCGTCCGATGGCAAGTCCAAGAACAAGGGAATGGCCAAGGCCCTGGTGGATGGTGTGCGGGACTGGGTTAAGGATAACGGGGAATTGATGGGTTTCTGGAAAGGTGAACGGGCAAAAGGCTTCTAGAGGCGAAGTTCTTCTTTGCTCTAGTCCTTTGTACTAACTTCACCCTGTCGGATACCCTTGGCGTTCTGCTTTCGGATCAATCTCCTACACACTCTCTCAATGAATGGCTAGAGGAAAGCCTTCATGAGATATCCACTAGCAGTTACTTGTTCTGGTGGAGTTGTTATTTATACTAGCTATATAGGCTAAAGAAACAAATTAATGAGAATTTGGAGTTTAGAATGTAGCACATGCACAGGCCAAAACCAAAAGACGAAATCATCAGACGAGGGGGTATATTGTGAAGCATGCCTCCTTCCAGAAAGGATCAGGGTGTGTACAATCCAATTGTAAGTATCACAGAGGTATGCTCCGTGTCAACTCCGGACTGCAACAGGCAAGGACAGGGAAGATAGTTGAAACAGAGGGTACTCAATTATTATTAGTATTAAGAGTACCCCGTGGTCCTCAGCTAAATGTAGCAGAAGTACAATGTGGTCATTTCACATTCGTTTGGATCATCGAGCTCGGTCGTGGGAAAGGAGCCATACTGCAACATATCTGAAAGTCTCAATGACAACAGGTGAATCTTGGCGCGGGAAAGGCTGATATGCAAAGAAGAAACAAGAAACATTAAGCTTGAGTCGAAGGGCTAAAGAAATTCATGATAAACACAACGCTTAATATGACGTAAGAGACAATCGGAGCACGCCATAATCGTAATTATTCACATACAAGCTGCGTCAAACTTGGAAGGGTCAGCGGAGGATAGTGATTGGCAAGCTTGAGAGAGGACCCATACCATTTTCACCATGAAGCGATGCAGAAAAGTCCTGATGATTAACTCCCATGAACAAGAGAGAGCTCTCCCTCCTCTTCGCCTTTGCCGAACGAGAGTTGTCAATGTTGGGCGACAACATCCTGTTCAAGGACGGCGAGCTTGAATGGCCCATGTTATATTCGTCCGGCCCACTTCCAGTAGAACGTTCATGACTGTTAGATACAGAGCCCTTACCGTTCTGCAGATAGTAGTCATCCATCCCGCCTGCATGTTCACCGAATGTGACTTGACCGTAACCTGGTGTGGATGCCTCCGGAGCAGCTTGACGAACGGGGTACCGGAATTCTTCATGGGAAGGAGAATAATTGACATCCCGCTCCAACGGTTCAGCAGTAGTCTTGAGCACCCCATTGAAGATGTCCTCGAAGTCGGTGAGGAACATTGAGAAGACGGGTGCTGGGATGTTCAGCGTAGGAGCAAAGACAATACCAACGTTTCTGATTGTCATTTTATTGACATCAGAGTTGTTTACTATAACTATCAAGAACTGAACCAATGCTCGCAGCAAGGCCAGGTTTGGCTGAGGAAGTCGATGAACAAGGTGATTGAAAGCGGCGATCTTCTTTTGTTTTTCATGAAGTTCTATAAGGGTGTGTTAGTAGCAAACTAAAGCGTACAGTGTGAGTACTTACCGAGTACCCGCAAGAACTCTAGATGAAGCTCACGGGTTAAAACCGTGGTGGGAAGTTCACGAAGGTATTGCTTGAAAAGGGAGGCGACGGCGTGTACATCATGATACTGGTCATCTGCGAGGAAGTCCACATCACCTTCGGTATTGAACCGCTCCTTTAGAGCCTTGACAACAAGATTCGACCCGCTCAACCTAAAAATGCCTTCCTCCGACTCTGCTCCTTTAGCTCTGAGATATTCTATGCAACGATAAACAACCGCAGGTAAATCAACGTCGACCCCTTGTGGTGCACAAAACTGTACAGCTTCAGCCAACGGCAAGCCGAAAACTGGCCGAACGAACTCTCGCTTTTCCACATTGTTCTGCACCGGAGCCAGCGATGAATCATGGCAAGCCTGGAGCTGAGTAGCAAGATCAACAGACGACCTTGTGCGAAAACCCCAGATGCTGCGTTTCTTTTCCTTAACGCTGGTAGCTGCTTTGTTGCCCCAGGCTCCTGCGTCCTGGATTATAACTCCATTGGTAGGGCCGGAGATGAGTCTAGACGACGACTGACCATGGTCTGGGCCGGAATCTGCAGTATCGATCGGAGGTCCTGTGGAGGTTATTGGGGACTTGGGGATCTGTCGATCAAACGATGGCCCAAGTACAGGTGGCTCGGCAGGAACAGCATCATCGTAACTGAAGCCTTGAACTGCGGCATCAGCGCTTTCAGTGTCTGGATTGTCGTTTCCTTTGTCTGTCTTCTTGCCCCCATTTGAGAACAATTTCGGTTTGGCAGGGGGATTAGTCTGCTGTTTCCAAGTTGCTGATGACTGTGATTTTGCGGGACTATTGAAGCCATCGTTCTCTGACTGACCGTCAACATATTCAAGAAGCGCATCCACCCAGGTATCCCTTTCTTCGTCACTCTCAGCACACAAAACATGGCGAACAAGAGCTGACGAGTCCTTGCGCTTGGGTTCCAAAATAAGGAACGCATGGCGATACTGGTTGTCGGAGTCCTCATCGCCGTGGGAGGGTGAGCTGTTTCGACCGCTTGCGTTCTGCGATTGCTTGCCAATTTGCGCGTTGTACAATTTGATCGTGCCAAGATGAGGGCCGCCTGGAGACTCGAAATATTTCAGCTCGGGACTATGCAAGACGAAATATCGTGCTTTCCAGCCGCCGAAATTCTTTCCTCGTTTTGTTAGATACCCCTCCTTCCTCGGTTTACCATCCGGTCCGCGTAGGATTTCGGCACCAGCTTGGTGATTCCCTCTCAGTAGACTCATCTCATCGTCTCGGGGTTCAATGGCATCGGATGTAAGGAATTCACATATGACCAACGCCGCCTTGTCGTCCATTGGGGTATCAAGGAGAGCCTCAAAGTAGGCATTCAACGCGGCACGTCTAGTGTCAACTTTGGCAGGAGAATGTCCGCTGAAAATGGACCGTTCAGGCAACTTTCCTCCAAAAGACGATAGTTGTCGAATCTGTTGATCAAGTTGAGGAAGAGCAGCAATAACCTTTTCAGTGCGCCAAAGCTCCATGTTTTCGGATCTTGAAAATATGCCCAGCGTAAATACAGGTTCTTCCTCCGATGGCCTGGAAGCCATATAGCTATTTCTGGACGGCCGAAGTCGTGATGACGAAACCTTGACATGTATTGAAGGAAGGGCATTTGGTGGCAGCAGGAGGTTTGGATATTCATCTGATACAAGACCTTGAAATATCCCGTTATTCTTCACGACTGGTTCTTGTGGGCTGTCTATCTTAACGGCCGCGTCGATTGATGGAATAGGTCGATTGTGAGCATCAACTGACATGGAAGAATATGCAGAACTGCTGGAGATTAGGTTTGAAGGGGTCCCTGAAGAAAACGGATTCTGATGCTGGACAAAGCGCGGTGACAGTGCCAATCCGGAAAGATTGCTCTCAGATGACATGGGCAATGACGACAGAGCACCAGGAATTTCCCTGGGTAAGCGCGGCAAAGGAGAACCCAATGGGCGGTCTTCGGGCCTTGGGCTGACCGGCAAACCGGGACTCTTTGGGATACTGATGCTAGGAAGGTCGCCAAGTGGTCCATTGTGCCTCGTACGGGGACTGGACGCGGAAGATCCTGAATGGTCAATTGAAGGCTGTGTTTGTCGCGGGTTTGAGAGTGAATCCACAGCCGCCAAATTGTTTGGATTGTTTCCTTGGCTTCCAGGGTCCTGCAGGGTCTCTTTGTCTCTGTTGAGAGCTGCCTCGCGTTCTCGATCGTCATCATCTCTCGTCCTTCTCCTCCCGCGCTCCATTGACAACTCATCCGCAGCCAAAATATCCTCATACTCAGAGTCAGAGTCATATATATCAGGTTCTGTTGACGTATCTTTTTGGGAAAGATTCAAGGGTGCAGGCGGAGGTTTCCGGACCGGAGGTGGCACCTCCTGCTGCTTGTTCTGACCTGGTGCAGTGCTATCGACGGGAGATCTTGAATCACTCGAAGAGGTTGGACTCGCTGTCGACAATTCTCGCCGAGTATATACCAGTGATGGATTGCTTTGCGTTTCGGCTTGCCCATCATCATGAACAGTGGAATTGCCTACTGTGTACTCCTTGTCTGGCCGTAATGGCAACTGGCCGACACCAACACCAAGGCCATGTAGCGAAGCCGAATTGGGCGAATCTTGATTCTCGATAGTGGCGGACTGTAGAAGAGTGATGTCCCGAACCTGATTGTCAGAGTCTATACTATCTGAATGACCCCCGCGATTGTGCGCCTGGGCCTTTCGGCTAGGCCCATGGCTTGTTAATGTTCCGCTGCTTTCGCTGTCTCGTGATCGCAGTTTTGAGTCGATAGTGGATGGTAAAGGCGGAGGGGAACTCTGCAACTCCTTAACCTTCTTTCTGTAGCGTTCCTTCTCTTTCAAGGCACGTTCGAGATCTTTATTTAAGCCTAGAATGAGTGTTCGCTGCTTATCAACCAATCGCCAGAGCTGCGAATTTTGAGAGGCTGCATGATGCTTTTCCTTCAGGAGGTGTACAATCACAGCCTCAGCCGACCCTGCGGTCGCTATCAAATTTCCAATATCGGCCTGACTTAGCGCATTGGCATCGAATGAAGATTTATGTGTCTGAGAAGCGGAAGAAATCGACGAGATGGCCGAATCAATGGAGGAGGTCCGGGGCATCATACGCTGACCCGGACGATTCCCGGAGGGCGATTGAAGAGAGTTGGCTGGTGAGGTAGGGGAAGACATCCTGGGACCTGTCTGATCTGGTACTTGCTGCGCCCGATTATCACTCATTTTACCATTCAAATCATACTGCTTGAGACTATCCCAAGTGTCTCTCACGACCGCGTCCGATCCGCTGGATGTCTGTGAATGTGTATCCGGAGAAGGGGTTTGGATTGTCGCATATGCCGTATGATTTATCGTATAGTTGCTCTTGAATAGGGAAGGATTACTGAATGACTTTGGAGATAGCGGAGTCTGCGATGGACTGGCGCTGACTTGTCGGGGTGATGGGAATTGCACGTTTGTTTGAAGGGGAGATGGCGTAAGTTTGCGGGGGGAAGCAATGGCAGCCCCGGAACGCACAGCCTGTCCGTCAGAACGCGGGCCCAGATAATCGCGAGGAATCAAATCGCTGGATAGTGGCAATGGCGAGTGCACCGTGCTTTGGTGCTTGGTTGTAGGTAACGTGGGAAGGGTAACAGGTAGCTGGTTGATGGTGGTATTGTCACTACCTTGCCGCCGAGGCTGCGACATGGCTTGTTTAGGAGTCGGAGCTCACTCCACGCATGGGAGGGAGGCGCGGAACCAGACAACGATTGGACGCTAAACTCGGACGGTTCGACTGGGGGGTTTCAGCACCAGCGGGCCAGGGGGCCAGAGCCAACGGTTCGACGGTTCTTAGATTGATCGAACCACAAACATACCTTCCGCACATGCGAGCCTTCGCTGTGAGGACAACACCGAGAACTGACGGCATCGGGTGATTTTCTGGGAACGGGCTGGTTAAGGGAAGATATTTGAAGAAGTTCGGCAAATATGGCCTCTCATAATCAACTAAGACTAGTTGCAAGATATAAGCCGAGTGGGGAAGGGGCCAGGGGAACAGGGGAAAAAGAAGGAAAAAAAGGGGGAGGGAACAGTAGAGCATAAGCAGGAAGGATTCTCCCTTCTTTTTTCCCCAATGAGAATGCAATCTGGGCCAAGATTTCTTAGTAGTGCAGGGAGCTTGTGGGTTTCTATAAGGGTAAGAGCGAAGCAGAAGATAGTATCTTACTGTGGTGAACAGCCAACTTCAGTATCCAAACTTGCAGACATAGTAAACAGTCTTGCTGCATTTACAGATGCTTGATTAAAACGGCTATGCTTTGCTATGACAACTGATTGGTTCAAATTTCCCCAGTGGCATACCCTTTAGAGATAGGCGCAGAAAAAGCATATGCCACTAGTGGTCCTGCATGAAAAGCAAAGCCCACTTGAGAGAAGGCCTCGAGGGCACCATACTTGTTGGATTTGCTTGGCTGCCCCGTCCATCATGCCCCGCCACTGAGGACAAGAAGCTGAGAATCGCGTCAGAAATGGTGGAAAACCCCAATCAGATGAGAAGAGAGGCATATAATGTGACATGAAAACACCAGAACACCTTTTCTAATGCAGCCCCCTGAGTCAAAGTACAACAAAATTCAAGGGTTGGGGTAAAGATGAGATCGCTTTTTCCCCTGTCCAACGCCTTTATCCCAGTGAAACCAAATTACCCAGCTTAACTCCCAGACACCCGTATGGTACAACTATACAATGCTATGCTATATTTCCGGCCATGCCCATAAAGATGGCCTGGGCAGCCAATTGGAGTGACCAGAAGCCAACTTTCTTGAAACGTCGCTTTCGAGCCTGTTCATCAACCACATCTCGCGCAAACGCATCGTATACCTGCCCAGCGTTATTATTATGTTATAGATCACCTGAGCAGATATTTGAGCTTACCGCCGCTGAAAGATCATCCATCAAGCCGCTATCCCAAGTGGTCCAACTGCCATCAAAATCTCCGAGGCGTTTGACGAGGCGACAGTTCACTGGAATAAAAGTACGCCTTGAATTAATATAGGCAACAATGGGTCTAATAAGCGCATTGTTGATATATGAAAGGTCTCGTGTGAAAAGAGGAACAACAGCCCTGACGTTGTTCAAGTGGAGGCGGAGATCGGTGACTAGGAACCTCCTGTCATCTTCGGCAGCGATTTCATCTGACGAGTTCACGTTGGACGTGGCTGACTCAAGATCCAGATTAGACGAGACTGTCGCTTCTAGCCGGTCATAGAATCCGGCCATAACCTTCGCAAGGCTTTCATCATTCTCCGCCGGAAACATAATGTCGGAAACGATGTCGACCGTCCCCTCATGTATCCAAGAAAACGGGCCCTGGACTCCTCGGTTTAGATGATCAATATTCAGACCATCGATGCGTATCCTGCTATGCTTCTTCCATGGACTTGGTTTACCATCTTCTTCCCCCCCATTTTCCAGCTGTGCACCGGTAAAGCCATGAGTTTGTCGAGGATGGATTGTGAACAATGAGTTGTCGTACGACCCCGACATCATATTGGCGGACATAAAATCATAGAATAGCCATTGTTTTCTCAGTTGAGGCAAATCACAGGAGAAAATGCTGACAGGGAAGGGCCTAAAGTTGTCTGGCTGGTACACGGTAACCAACACATCGCTCATCTTGAAAGAATCAATTTCGAAGTCACCAGGATTGTGCTCATGTCGGTAAGATTTGGGATCAAGATCGTCATCCGACCAGTGAACATATCTGCGGTCGACTACACCGCGAATTCCCCGTACCTCAACGTCACGAAGAAGTCCTTTACCGTTGATCCACTTCGTAAATGACAACGTAACGTTGACTGTTTCGATCGACACATCGAACTGTGTGTAGTTGGTGTCCTCTTCTTCCGACACAGGCCGCTGCTCAGGCAGTTCAGGGTTGGTTTGCTCCCCAAGGGCGGCGGCGGCGACGGCAGCAGCGGTCTTCGAAGAGCCCTTACTTACATGTCCCGTCCCTTGTCCTGGTCGCCTGGAGACAAAGACATTCTTGAAAGTGATCACGCCATCTTTCCATTTCGGAACAATTGCAGACTCGAAAACAACCTTTACGCCGGAAGACTTAGTAAGATAATTTCCGATCCAGCCAGCCAATGTTTCTATCAGGATCAGCATCGAATCAATGTCAATGAGAACCACTTCGGGCCTACCTTGGGCGAACACCGTATTAATTGCGATGATAAGCAATGAGAAGAAAGTGGTAGTACCCAAGACTACCCAAACCACATGCCCCAAGAGCACCCATGAGAAGAGAGCGGTTATTTCATCCAGGTTGAAAGGCCTGACACTTCGTATAGAGAACCACTTGAACCGGACCTTAAGTCGTGACCAGAACCCATTAGCTGCAGCCAACAATTCTTCTTTCGTAGGCCGGTGCAAGTGCGGCATATGTGGTAATCGGTCCCGGAGATGGCGGTTTAATTGCCCTTTTTGATGAACTTCAGGTAACTGCGGCTCAGAAACCTGACTTTTATCGTTGGTGGATGTCTCAGGGCTATTACTTAGACTGTCAGGATGAGGGCGGCCGTCATTATGATTTTTAGGTTCCTTCTGTAACTCGGTCGTCCTCCGATCATCTGGGTTCGTATGAAAACCGCGCCTAATCGTAAGCCAGGAGACAATACCCAAACCCTTTCTTTCCAGTGTAGAAATCCTATGCGGCCTCAAGTCCCTTAGAGGGATGGCGTATGTTGCCCCGGCTGCAGTGTGATCAGAGGCGCCATGTACAAAGCCCGCGGTAGCAGGTACTTTCATAGGCCGAGTCGGTTTTCGCGAAAGTGAGCTATATCCTTTCGCAATATGAACATTGCAAAAGCCGGCTCTGAAGTCTTCTGTATTTAATGTATAAGATAGGCACGACACGCGCCTTTCTCGCAATCCATATCCAAATAGTAATTCCGTTGTTCCCCATGAGTTGGTGTACAACCTGCGCCCGAGATAGCCAGACATGATTGCCGTCACATGCTGGACAATCTGAAAAGGCAGGTAAGCGGTAGAGGAATCTTCTCTGGTATTGATCAGAAAGCTAAAAACAGGACAAGCTATTAGATGTATAGCTGGGATGACAGGTGCATGCGTCTCAATCACCGGGCAGAAGCACGGTGCTATCTAACCAGGCGGACCGCGAATAAATTTCCATGAAATCATCCCGCCTCAACAGGAGCGGGTCCTGTTTGTACTGTTTGCATCGAAAATTCACAAATTCACACTATAACCACACATCTTTTCCATGGACCGTAAAATCTGTGATAACGGACTCCGACTCCGATTCACAGCCTAAACCGTTGAGTATTAAGATCCCACTCGGAGCAACATGCCTGCACCCACAGCTTTACGGCAAACTGCCGAAGTAGCAATGGCAGAGACGCCTGTTGCGCCTACTATGTCAGGTCAGTCCCCGCCAGCGCTTTACGGGAACCCGACTGGGTGGCCATCCTAACGTCCATTAGAGCAAGATGAGGAAATTTTGATCGACGCCCAAACGTCGGCAGATCAGGTCTCTGCAGGACTCGCGCCTGAGATTGAGCCTACTCAAGACAGCGATATGCGTATTGACGAAGAGGGACGGCCCCTCTTCACACCAGCAAAAGACACTAGCAGGGTATATCGAGTTGAAAGCAGGAAGGTTCCTGTACCACCGCATAGGATGACTCCATTGAAGGCTAGCTGGGCACGCATCTATCCCCCGCTTGTCGAACACCTCAAACTTCAAGTGCGGATGAACATCAAGAACCGAGCTGTGGAACTACGTACGTCACGATTCACGACCGATACGGAAGCCCTGCAGAAGGGCGAGGATTTCGTCAAAGCTTTTACTCTTGGATTTGATGTCGACGACGCTATCGCACTTCTCAGATTGGATGATCTTTACATACGTTCATTTGAGATTCGGGATATCAAAGCCCTCAACGGAGAGCACCTCAGTCGTGCAATTGGACGCTGTGCTGGTAAAGATGGGCGAACAAAGTTTGCTATAGAGAACGCTACTCGGACAAGAATCGTCATTGCAGACCAGAAGATTCACTTGCTAGGCGCAGTGAAGAATGTCGACTGTGCCCAGCAGGCCATTGTTAGCTTGATTCTTGGCAGTCCACCGGTCAGTAACCTTGTGCCAATCCTTTCTATTGTCGTTTCAGAAGATGCAACATCTGCTAACTCCTCAATAGGGCAAAGTGTATGGGAACCTTCGTAAGGTGGCTTCTCGCATGAAGGAGCGTTTTTAAGAAAACGGACCGTCAGCATTATGGGAACTACGGTCAAGGGTGTCTCTGCCTCTACCAGGATTTTTTCTTTTTTCATGACATGGTATCGGCGTTAGGGGTTGTGGCACATGATTTGGATAGAGCATAATGGATATGACGACACAGAAACGAGGGAAGGATTACTCCACTGGATATTTTTTATCTATTCATATTGAGAAAATTATCGCAAGAGTATAAGACTAAATTAGGCTGGTGAAGCATCGACTAATCTGGGCTCTGGTATGCCTAATCCTTCTTCAACGGATAGTAGATCTCCTCCACCCCACTCCTGGTAATAACCATCATCTGCAAGCCATCTCCGACCTCAATATGTCTTTCGACGGCGCTGGTGAATGCATCTCGTACCAGCTGTTCAACAGTATCTCTCGGCAGTGGCTCCGCTTTCTTGGGCTCAAGGGCATGCCCTTCTCCGCTGCCCGGGATATATTGGTTTTTGAAGTTGACCTGGTTATCCAGGAACGGCATGATAAGACTTGCTGCAGACCCTGCAGCCCTGCATTGCTCTCTCTCGTACGATCCAACCGGATCGTAGCTGTACAAGGCACCCTTACCATCCTCGTCCAAGCCTGCTAAGATAGCATGCACATAGTAGGGGAAGAACCGTTTCTGGTAAAGAATCGTTGACAAGCGTTGGGCACAGGCTCTCACGGACATGGGCTTTCCGTGTTGGTATTTGTACATCTTCACCACTGCATCTAGTCGCTCTTTAAGGGCCTGGCCATCTGCTGCGAAGCCCACGACTGACAAGACGATATTGGCACCTTCACCAGACTCATCATCACCGCCAATTTTGAACACCTTGGGAACATAACGAGAGTTGATGTTGTATCCTGCAACGGATCGAGTATCTCCAGCCAGGATCGCGAAATCAAAGCCAGTAATGCCCAGGGTAGAACCGCCGTTATCCGTATAGCTGCCGATGTGAGTTAGCTTAGTCCCTATTATATAGTGAAAGGCAGTGACGCATACGGATAGAAAGAGTGCTCTCTATGGGGAGCACTATTCGCATTGGAGAAGGAGTATCCGATGGCCTCGCTAAGAGGGTTGCCGGCTAGAGTCGTCATTCTTCGTAGAGTTCGATTGTTGTAGAGAGTATCGATTAGGATGAAACGATGAAAAAATCAGTATACTCTGGTCAGCTAATAGCTGAGGATGTAACGAAGGGTGTTTGTTATGTAGGAAGTTGTGGAATTGAATAGTAGCAGGTGCTCTAGCTGAGCTGTTACTGAGCATCTGACGCGATGTTGTAGCTGCCTTCTGCTTATATAATCACACCCAGCTTCCGTCATGGTCTGGGAGCTTACTGTTGCCGCGGAGTCAACTGCCGTCTCCAGGCTATCTAAAGAAATAAGCGTTGTCTTATTCGAGCCTAATGTCCTTTTCCAACGCCGCCTAATAGTTCATATTCCCACCGAGCGCTTTACCTGAAATCCAGAACGCATCAGGAACTGAAGCCTAATTATAATGCTCGGCCTAGGGGCGTATGAAAGCAGCAGTGATGAAGAAGTGGGAAACAATTTGCCCTCAGTACCATCGAAGGTAAAAGGAGCATTATGCTGTGATATCGGCCTCTACTAACATGAAACCGGCAGAAGATCGCTAGCCAGCAAGCACAGCCGCAAGAAGTGACTAAAGCTACAGGTGATTGGAGATTTAATCTACTTTTTTCTGAAACTAGTGGGACGTATTTAACGTGTTACCAAAGCAGAAATCCCCAACGAAGCCACACCATCGAAAGAGATACCTGCTCCAGACACAGACAGGCCTGTTCTTGGACCGACGCATGAAGGCTCACAAGATCCACAACAGCAACCAGCCGAAAATTCACAAGTCTTCTTAGCGGACCGAGCATTGATCCATGACCTAACACTTCCTCCGTTACCAAATCTAGACATACCACCATCTCCCCCTGGCTCTCCTAACCCTGCAGCGAATGCCAAAATCGCACACTTCTTGACCTTGAAGAAACAGGGTATGCATTTCAACGAAAAGTTAGCCGGGTCTACATCCCTCAAGAACCCAAGTTTACTGAAGAAAATGATGGATCATGCCGGAATTGATGATCAAGCGCAGTATCACACATCATTACCACCTGAAGTATGGAGTATCAACGATCTGCCAAGTTGGGGGTATAAAGAGGAACTTTTGAAAGCGCAGAGGGAAATTCAGATTGGGGCTGAAGAAAGGAAGTCCGCAGGACAAAGGGATGCTATCAACTTTGTGGCTGCCACGCCTAGCGAGTCCTCCCGTACAGGCCCTATTTCTAGCTCAAGGACAAAACAAAGGTAATATGCGATGGATATTCCAGAGTGCAAAAATCTCTGCCAATGACAGCCGGGACAGTACGACCCGGCGTACAATGCTTGGGAAGCAAAGAAAGGTCCTCCGGCCCCAAAGCCTATGATGGGAGGCCTCCTCGTGAAAGGAAAGTTATCTGCCGGTGATAGTCTTTCTGTCACAGAATAACTATATAACGTCTATTTCTAGGGCCAAAAAAAGGAGAACGTAGCACTAGTGAATACCCGTTGTTTTGCAGGGACGACTGTTTCTTAGTAGCTGGAGGAGGGACCCAGCCTTCTTTAAGGGGGCCAATCTATAAAACATCTTTCCCCTCCCCCCTCCACTAAACAAGTGTCTCATCAAATCAGTTCAAATATAAGTAACAGGCAATGGAAATATATATGATCATCTCCACGTTCTCTTGTAGGGATTACTGTTATGCTGATTTTCGCTAAGCGCGTGTGTTGGCCTCCGATAGGCGCGGCGGGAGGTGATAGCATTGCTCACGTAACATGAGCTCCGTCAGCTCTACTGCCTAACGACCCCAGAACAGCGTCGATATCATCACAAGCTACTATTTCCTTCTCAAGCATCACTTTGGATCTTCACAACCAAGCCACATTTTCCGGCCTACTCAGTGATAATAAAAACTATCATTCATTCTCATATTGTGCCAATCGCCCGTCATGAATCACTTTCCCGAAGCTTGGGGTCGCGTAAGAGCATCATCATCATCGCATTAGATTATGTCGGTCGCTAACAAGTTGCTGAAAGCCTAGGGATGACGTTTACGGACCCTACAACGCCTCATACCTCCAGACAACTGGTCCGAAAACCCACACTCAGTCACCTGCTGTGACTGGTACGTCGGTAGTGGCAGTCAAGTTTAACGGCGGAGTTGCAATTGCTGCCGATAACCTAGGTATAGCTGGGAATTAGATTGGAAATCCATTTCGCACTTTCACTGACGGATATTCTTTTTTATAGCATCATACGGGTCTCTTGCCCGCTTCACTGATGTGAAACGTCTTCGCAAGTTTGGCGATTCTGCCATCATCGGATTCAGTGGTGACGTTTCGGATATGCAGTATATCGACCGACTACTGGAGTCCATCGATATCAGAGAAAATTACTCTACCCACGGAAACACGTTGAACGCCAAGAACCTTCATACTTATTTGTCGAAAGTTTTCTACAAGCGCCGTTCTGAGTTCAACCCCCTCTGGAACCACATCTTGGTGGCCGGGTTTGATGGAGACAAGAAGCCATTCCTCAGTTCTGCGGATCTGCTGGGGACCACCTTCTCAGCTCCTCATCTCGCGACCGGCTTTGGTGCCCATCTTGCCGTTCCAATCCTTCGCCGGCTGTTCCCAGAGGAAAGGCCTCTCGAGTCAATCACCAAGGATGAGGCCGTGGCGGCGCTAAGGGAATGTATCAAGGTTCTCTGGTACCGTGATGCGCGGAGTCTGGACAAGTACTCCTTAGCTGTTATTACTGAGGAGGGAGTTGAGATTCAGGAGGACCAGCAGGTTGAAGCCCAGAGCTGGGCATTCGCCGAAGCCATCAAGGGATATGGGGCTCAGGTTAACTAGGATATGGCTTTGATCTAATACCTGTGCTACTTGAGTAATAGAACAAATCCAACAAAATACGTATGGTGAAGTCACTGCGAACGTGTCATGGCTGTAGGGCGCTATATGTATATGAATGCACAGACTAGTACTTGTGATGGTTGGTGGTCGGGATCCTACAACGTTCAAGGGACACTTGACGGCCCTTGTTACACTCAATAAGCCCCGCGCCATCTGTTCCTTTCACTACTAGCTCACAGCTTAGAAGATGGCTTGTCGAAGACAACGCGATTCAGGCATGATCCGACACCCTCAAGAGAAACCTCAACCAAATCGCCATCCTTGAGCCAGAGCGCAGGCTTCCGACCCATACCAACACCTTGGGGTCTGGAGAAGTGAGCCTTGTGCATGGTAAGTGCGGAATGGGCAGATAAGCGCTAACTTACGTTCCTGTAAAGATTACATCCCCGGGCAACAAGGTGGTACCCTGAGATAAGAACGACACTGTCTTGGCCACATTAAATATCATATCCTTGGTGGAGGATGATTGAACCGTTTGGCCGTTCAGTTTTGTCGAGATCTGCAAGTTGTTGGGATCACGGATTAGCTTCGAAGATACAATACCTGGTCCAAAGGGCGCCCATCCGTCGAAGCCCTTGCCCAGGCCCCATTGTCCTCCGCCGTGCTTCAACTGCCATTCACGATGAGAGACATCGTTTCCAACGGCATAACCCAAAACATAGTCCAGGGCCTGACTCTCAGGCACATTCTTAGCTTCCTTGCCGATGATGGCAACCAATTCACACTCATAGTCTAGACCCTCGCCCAGTTGAGCCATACGGGAAACCGGGACGTCATCTGTAGGTCCGGTAACAGAGGTGACGGGCTTGTAGAAGAGAACAGGGAATTTCGGCAAGGGTAGATTTGATTCTTTGGCGTGTTGTTCATAATTGAGTCCCAGACAACGCACGGTCCCAATGTCTTTTCTCGCCAATGGCGCCAGGAGCATTTTAATATCGGCAATCTGGTCTGTGACATGGTGCTGTCCGAAAATATCGCCCTGGATGACCCGTGCCTTGGTGGCTTGGGCAATGTCGCTCACGCCCGCTGACAATAGGGCGTCTCCGTAGTAAGTCTGGCCGTCCTTGGCCAAGAAACGAACCAGACGCTGTGCCACGAGACACGATATCAGTTCTTGAAAGAAGGAGTGGGCCAATGAAGGGATGTGGACTCACGGAGAAGGTAGCCATATCGATCAGCAGTGCTAGTAGTAGTATATACTAGTGATAATACCTGATGTATGTAGTAGTAGTAGGTCAAAGTATATATAAAGAAGGAATGAAGCCTAGGAGTATAAATAGCAGCTGGAGTCTAAATAGAATGTGATATAGATCGGTATTTCAAAGCCAAGTGTGAGTCTGGTATGATGAAGCTCCCACCAGCACTTCTTATCCCGATAGCTGACTAGTTACTAATGTTAGTTAGATAACGAGAGGGGGTTTCTCCAGCTCCTCGGCTCCAGGATTCTCGGCCGGAAGGGGAAAGCAGCTCGGCTACTACGTATGGGGTAAGCGGATCGGCAGCCCCCGGGGGGAAAAGCCGAACAAGCTATCACTAGTAAGCATGCTCTGCATTTCCGAACTCTGAACTCTTCAATCTGGTGATGCAGCTATACCACTACTAGCGCTCGCATCTCCTCAGGTCTGCAACAACTATATAGACCCAATGGCTCGGCTATCAGGCCTCCAAAGACAGGTGCTGGCTCTGTATCGGACATGCTTGAGAGAAGCCGGGAAAAAACCCATTGTGAGCAATTACCTCGCCGCGCTGTCAAAGTTTTGATTCACTGGCCAGCTAGCGAACATGGGCTGATTGGTTCTGCTACTTCATATACTGTAACTAGGAGACGAGAGAGAACTTCAGAGCATATGCTAGGTGCGTTCCTTGGTCAGAATTCTGAATTAAAAAAAACTGGGTTCCAGCCCAATTGTCTCCTGGAATGCCCGCTCTGCCGTGCGCTAATATCGAAACAGGGCCGAATTTCGAAAGAACTCCTCTGTCAGCAAGAAGGATTTCGGTGCGATAGAGTATCTACTACGGAAGGGGCAGAGGCAGCTTGAGATGTACTCAGCCCCCGGAATCCGCAATATCCGGTGATCCAAACTTCCTGTTCCTTGTGGGGCAGCCCCGGAAATTCCAAAAAATAGCCCTCCTCGTTTGGATGTAGGTGAATGGCCCAGCAAAACGAAATGCAGCATGACTCTTTGCTCCCTATGATGCAACTTTTCGAGGCTCACTATCTAGGGATGAACTCTGATGTCATGTGACCGCGGAAGATTCGCGCGGCTTCTCGTAAGTTGCTTATCTTATCGGGTTGGTGACGGAAGGCTCCAGATGCATCTGGTGTCATCTCGCTCCATCGCTATCGCTGCCAGCATCTGCCAGAACGCTCGGCTCACTTCTATATGACAGAGGAAGTTGGATGATGGCGAATTCTAGAAGTCCTCTGTTCAGTAATAAAAGGATGGAGTGTAACCAGCCTAATGTGTTTACCTGTACTCAGAATCAATCCACTGTCATAACAAGATAAATCAAGGACATTCATATCCTCTTTATCAGCAAAACAAAAGCGCAGCTATCTCTTTCGAAATAATTAGCTTTCGTCAAACACCATTGAAATATTCAGAAGAATCACAAGCAATGGCTTACTTCCCTCGATTTGCCGGTGACTTCGCACCCTTGTTCCAACTTCTGGACGATTATGATGTCCACCGATCCAGCCGCCCCAAGAACAGGAAGGCCACACCCGTCCGCTCATTCACTCCGAAATTCGATGTCTATGAGGTGAAAGACGTATATCACTTGGAAGGCGAACTTCCTGGGGCCGAGCCGAGCAACATCGAAATCGAATTCTCCGATCCACACACTCTTGTCATCAAAGGTCGCGTGGAGAAGAACGAAGTGGCCACCCCTCAGACAGCGGGTCAAACATCGCCAACGAAGTCACACCAACCGACAGTTGAGGATGATGATGAAGACGAAGACAACAAATCAACTAAATCCTCGGATAGCCACCCCACACAGCTGGTCTCACAGAAACAAACTGAGCCAATCTGCAAGTACTGGGTTTCCGAACGCCAGACTGGCGCATTTTACCGCACATTCACCTTCCCGACGAGAGTGCATCAAGATGCAGTCAAGGCCAACCTGACAAACGGCATCTTGTCGCTACAAATTCCAAAGGAGCCTGCCCCTCAAGTCAAGAAAATCCGCCTCGAGTAGAGCGATCAATGACTATCGTTTCGGATCTTTCTTAGCATCGGTTTCCCCCCTGCGACATTTTCCTCTTCTTGACTTACCTACCATGGCCAAATGATCTTCTGCCAATTCACGCAACGATATGAATGTTTCTGCACTTGCATTTTGATGGGGTTATGTGGGCCGGGAGTACATTGAAATGATTGTTCAGTTTCTGCATGTATCATAAATCATCATGAGATGACAAATAATGAATATATAATTTTCTCACATATGCTCCTCGTAGAATACGAAAATGAACGAAAGACACCGACTGACGACATCACCCGTAATACGAGATCCTATAGACCTGTTCGATTTATCTTGATCTCTACCTACTGTAGATACTACTGCGTATGTCTATCATCACTGCCAGCACTATCAGTGATTGAGTTTCCATGCTCCACCATCCTATTTGGAGACACCTCGCACAATAATCTAGCGAAAGCACATCATCGATGCACGAGGCATACACATGTACAGGAGTTATCGGATATCAGATCCATAGGTCAAAAGTGAATACCAGCAATTCCCACGAACTAGTCATTCTGTAACTTTAAGTAAATTAGGTGTGGGCAATTCCCTCAAAAATACTCCGTAACTATATCAAAGTGCAGTCAAATACTATATATTACTGTATTGTGCGAGCAAGACAGATAGACACTCTAAAACCGAAGAAAAGAAAGTTTAACCCTTGCGTTAAGCCTACTCCCAAGCACATGTACTTGGTATAGTATTTTGCTTCAATATTATGCATGCAAGATGCAAACTCCCCACCCGTGGGTATGGATGAGAATCATTGCCGACTGTGGGGGTCTGCGGCTCCACGATTTACACGGTACTACTCCATACTAGATAGCTAGTCAAATTGGGGGAACTTTATGCGATTAGCTAATATGTACTACACGTAACTAGCTGCTGGAGTTCTCGAAACTAAATTCCCAGATATAAGTGAATAGTTGGTTATATGTCAGTCAGTGTCTGGATACATCTATCAGATGTGTAACATTTCCTTTGGAACTGCTTACAGTAGAGGATTACTCACTCACTGTATGCAGCCTTCGGTCGGGTTGGGTTCGACGTCTGCCAGGTGGTCTCGGTCGTTTGGGCGTCTTCCGCCTTGGATTGCGCGCTTAATTGATAAGCATGCCCGATCCTTTGGACCACCAGGTAAAGCTAGCCAGCCTAGCTCGCTGGGTATGAATGCACGGACATCGCCGGATCTTACTTGACTCGGTCCCGTCAATTGATGATGGGGAAGTGGTCTCACCGCTACATTTTATGTTTCGGACTGTTGGGCTAGATGGCAGCTTATCGCGGCTATGTAATTCTACTTGGCGCTGATGAATTGTTCACCATGATACATGAAGCCCGCAAAGCGGGAATAGATTGATGAGTATACCTCGCTTTTCTCCTTGTCCACTCCAAGATATGTACAAGCGGAGGGAAGGATCCAATATAGTAAGTAATTCAAATGTCAAAAAGTAAACACAAGACAAGAAAAGAAAACTCCTAGACTTTCCCGCGCCAATCGAACTCTGATATAGTACTATATAAACGGAGCACAAACAATCATCCAGGTTACCAAATGGGTATTTGTAAAGCAGGGAAAACGACTGAAGAGAAGAACCAAGACTAAGCTGGCGACGTAAATGAGATATCCGCCCGTTAGACTTCAAAGTGGGAATCCCGGCACTGAAGTACAGGACTAATTGCAAAAGGAAAATTTCGGAAGGGAATGGTGATATAACTTGGGGGGTGAAAGGATGATGGCAAAGGGTGACGCGCAAGTAATGGAGGAGGCTGGAAAAGCCACCGCATCAACGAAAGATAGTTGGTGAAGCGGCCTTGTAAAGATCTGGATGTTTAGCGTGCCTCGTCAGCCTCTTACGCTGACTTTCAATACTCCGGCTCCTAGCTCTTCCTCTCAACTGTCCAGATACCAGTCTCCCTGTATCCAAGCCCTCCATGCTTTCTGGGACTGACATGCGAAGTGCATCAATATTTGGCATGGGTAGCCACGCAGCGCTCATTGTGCTGCTGCTACCCTGCACGTCGTGCTCCGTCACTGTGGTCATGGGCTGTTTCCAGCTTTTCTCCGATAGAGGTAGGGATGCTCCGACGTGCTCCCATTGGGGGAATTGGTGAGGTATAGCGCCTGCAGAGACAACTGACAGGCCAGGAGAAGCAGTATCGAGGCTCCTCAATTGGTGGCAATATTGAGAGTAGGGCATTGTATGCCGGTATTCTGGAGGAGTCGCGAATGAACTGCTCCTTAGGCGCGGTTTAGGGGGCATCGGTCGGAAGTCATGACACATTGACCATCTGTGGGACGGCCAGCCATAGCTGTCGACTTTGGGCCTTGCCCAAGGACCCTGAAGGCTTGAATGACGGTGTACAGAGGGCTCAAAGCCAAGTTCTGGGCTGTTTCCGGCATCCAAAAACCCGTGGTCCTTTGAATTACCGTTGAATGTAGATCTGCGGGCCACTCCAGGTTGATGTGTAGATGTGCGAGAATCAGTCGATCGTCTAGTGGAACGGACGGAGGCTGCGGAACTGTAGCCGCTGTCAACCGTTCCGTGCGCATGTTGGAGTTCTCGATGCCCGTGTTCTCGGAAGGAACGTTCAAGCTGGTGGACAAACCATTTTCCTTCATCAGCGATAGAAACACCTTCATCTTCTGTTTCGCTACCTTGAAGTCTGTACGGAGTTGAGGTTGCTGGAGATCTCTCGAAGGAAAATGGGCTTGCAGGATGATCGTCGGGATTTCCCACTCCACTAGGTGGAATCTGTAACTTTGGAGCACGGGCCGTATCGTTACATGGAACAGGAGCATAGTCTTGGATGTTTGATAGATCAAAGCTGGTTAGATCGACTTTATCAAGTGCGCTGTCCCGGACGATCTCAGCTTTACGGGACTGCTCGATTGCACTCTCCGAAGCATAGTCCTGGATGTTCGATAGATCGAAGCTGGTTAGGTCCACTTCATGTCCGCTGTCCCGTACAATCTCAGCATTATGGGATTGCTCGTCTGCACTTTCAGAAGCTAACTGCGCTTTCTGATCCATATAACATGGCACCTTGTGGGAAGAGTGCTGGGGCTGTTCCGACTTCGTGTCATGCGTGTTGATGCTGCTTGGTTCGGGATCTGGGCTGTTGGGACGGTTCAATCGAGTCCTGTCGCTGGGGCATGGCGATGCGGAACCATTTACCACACGCAATGATCCTAATTTGAGAGCCCCTAAATGGGTATATTCGAACTCATTGGGAGTTGCTGGACGAAATCGTGTAACCGGACTAGGTAACCCACAAGCATCATCTTCGTAACCGGATGGTAACAGCCTTGGAGATGCAGATGTTTCGTTCAGATAGTTGAGTGACGGCGTGGGTTCGCGTACAACTGGTGAAGACAATCTTCGGGCTGTATCTCTTGCTGGCCTTCTTGTTGCGATCCCAGGCCGTGTTAGCAGCGATCGTCGACGGATGATAGAAAATCCCTGGCTGTCGACCCTAAATAGCGTGTTAGAAGACGTTGCCTCTTCGATTGTACTATGATGCATAGTACTCTGCGCTCTCTGAGGTGGTGTATGCGCAGAGTACGCCCGTCTTGGTCGCGGTGGCCGTGCCATCAATGGCTGTGGTCGACTTGGGAGAGTTGTTGCCTGAAAGCTATTGTGTCTGGAAGAACGGCGAGAGACTTGACCCCCCATAACGGAGTCTGACGTGGGGACGGTAGGAACGTGCGAGTACAGACTAAAATTATCTGGCTCTTTGACCATAGACTGGCATTTTCGGGCCCTGCTTAGAGTGGGCCATGGCTCCCCAGGCCGGTAGGAGGCAGATGGAAGAGACTGTGACCTCCTCGTGCATACATCAGGCTCAGGGGCCTTGAGAGAGATGGAAGTTCCGGTCCAAGGGTCTTGCCAAGCAGTACAAGCCGGGCATTCTGTAGGAGAGCTGGTGCCGGAAGTTTGACGAGATGCGCGGAAGCTGTTTGAAGCTAGCGTTGCCCTATTCGGAGGCGGTTTTGACAGCCGATTGGTGCGGCGACGCTTTTCTTTGCTCTGTACTGAAAGGAAGCCTCCCATGGCTTCCTTCTTGAGTGAAAACTGAAGTGAAGGCTTCAGAAGAACCTGATCCTCTCACCTAAAGGTGCGAGGCAGACATGGGCAGGCCGCAATGTCAGACAATTCAACAAATGGCGTCCAGTGGCTGGTAAACAAAATCACTTCAGGGCTTAAGCCGGTAATGCCATAACAGTGGTCAATCTCCTGCAGAAGAAACTTGGGTACCAACGAGGCTGAAAGCACCAGGCTCCTGCCTATGAGGTAGATAGGCCGAGTGGACGTTTCGAAAAGTTTCGACGACGTCAACCCCAGGTCGATTTGAAAGACTTAGTAGAACACGCAGGGGAAACAAAAGGAGGATTCTGAACGGGACTGGTTCGAGCTTTCGCCCGAGGCGCTGACTTGCGACGCTCAAGCTGGTAAGAACCAGAAGAGCGTAGTTAGATGATGGGGCAAAAAAGCAAAGACGACCAGCTATATAGGCAGCGAGAATGACGCGCTACTTAAAACAAAAAGACAGGACAATGAACTGTTGTAATAAAAAAGAAATACAGCACGGGCGGAATCAGCCACGTCCAACTAGCGGGTTTTCTCCCTCCTGATTTGCTTTATACTGTAGATAGGCAGACAGAATGGAGATGTCAGGAGGAGAGGCACTGAAAGAGTAGTAGTGGAGGGTGGGAGACGACGAAACCAGGAGTGGTGAGGATGTATTATGCAATAGTAGAACAAAGGAGGTACAAGAAGGGGAAAAAGAATATTATCAGATTACCGCAATCCCTGGTCGGCCAGGTAAAGATGGGGAAAAAGGAATAAAAGAAAAAAAAAAATCAGATTCAAATTAAGAATTAAAATCAAAAACACGGGGTTGAACGGGATGAAGCGGATGGAAAAGAAAGATAGATTAAGAATCGTAGCTGGGGTAAGTAAGGGAAATCAGATACATAAGTGGAGTGGAGATGGACTGGGCTGCCATGGTTGAGGATGCACGAAAGACACCACAGTGACGAATGCGTTATCCACAGGCAACTGTAGCTCTCACGGACAACGGAATTGGGAACGAGAAGATGGATCGGCAGGTTGCAGACGGTCGGGGAAGGGAACCAGCTACTGACAAGATCATTGTGTAAGAGCGAGAGACCGCGTGTGGATGTGGATGTGGGTAAGGGTGTCAGAGTAAATGGAGCTAAGAAAGAGCAAACACACCCGGATATTATTCACCAGCCAGCCAAGGTACCTTTTTTGTGCCCTCTTTGACAATAGGAATTGGAGAGGGATGTGGATGGAGCCATGGGAATGGACGGTCAAGGTCAGCCTTGGACTGGCGTGGTCCTTTCAGAATTCAGACTTTCGGACACAACGCCATCCCTGAAAGCGGACAAGTCAAAGCAAGAATTGCACCGGCGATGCCCGCTAGAAGCACCCAAGAAAATAATAATAATATTAGATAAATAAAATAAAAATCATACCTAAGTACCTAACACTAAAAAGAAGGCAAAAGAGGGAAACGAGTGAATGCATGATGAGGGAGGGGTATCCGTAGTAAAATCAGTAATTTTGCTTGGTTGACTTAGTCGGCTACTTTTGTTGATTTATTATTACACATAGGCAGGCTGATTGATTATTCTTTAATATCATTATCATCATCATCATTATTACTTATTTTTTTTTCTCTTTCATGATTACCATACACGAATTATGATCATACCATGCATCGTCGGATGTTTGTCTGATGTGTCTGCAGTTAGTTATCTGCTTAGTTATTAGCTATTTAGCAGCTAGTCTAGCTGTTCTTCTAGCTAGTATCTCATCGCTATCCCTTTAGGGGGACTGGCAGAAGCTCTCCCTACCAGATATGGACTAAACAATTTTTCTTAGTTCGACCCTCATTGGGATCGCATTTGGATCGTCAGGACCATCGTTTGTTTTAGCTCCAGCCGTGGATCCCTCCAGGGGTGGAAAGCTTGATGACGATGGAGCCTTGATTGGTGCTGGGCTGGCCGCAAGCAGAACTAGGCGACTAGTCCTTCCTTCCGGACCTTGGTCAGTGAAAGTAGTCAGGATGTTACGGAGGAGAATGCTGTTCCCGCCTCTCCGAGTTATGGATCCTTGGTTCTAATCACCACCTACGGGATAATACTACGAACCAAGGTTTCCTTTTCCTTCCCTATAGGTACCCAGGCAGAATTGAAGAAACTGAATGAATCCATTGCATCCCGTCTTTGGGTAACAACAGCTCCTGCTCATTCCGTATCTAATGTATTCTACTCTCCCGATCTTCTCCTTGGGTATCTCCATTCAATCCCACAAGTCACCTACTCCGGACATGTGTACTTTTTTTTTTGAATAACTACAATTAGCCACCGCCACTATCACCGCCTCCCTCTTGAACAACTGTATCGTAAGTTAGTCTACACGCAGTATTCCGTACTACTGCTGTTGTTAACTGACTAGTAAGTTTAACTAGTCGTTCGGCTCTAGTTTAGTCATGTCGGTATTTTAGCGTCGTTTAGATTGATTGTTCTGCCTAGTTTCTACCGCTTTTGCCCCCCCCCCCCCCCGGCCCCGCCCCCCGTCTGTCAATCCGTCTTCGTTCAGAATCAAGAAGTACGTATGTAGCTATCTAGTATACTACAGTAGTAAACAGGGCTGGAAAGTAGGTAGTATCATGATTATGCTGTTTTAGTAGGACCTGTCTGTCAGCATCGACAGCACCGACATCAGCACCAACCCCCGCACTGTCCATCTTCCGAATTGGTCTCTTTTCTTCAACATTCGATTTACCCTTTTCATTATCGGTGTATCATAGATGGGTCTAAGATCCAGAGATTGAACCCCCTTTGAGTCAGGTCATCTCCGATTGAGTCCTTCTTGATTCCGTGGTTCCATCTTTTACTGCTTTGGAAACCTTTCCCGTTCCGGCGCTCGGCTCGCTCCCTCCTGGTCGGGTCATCCGAAAGCTCCAGCTAGACTAGTACTACTATCTACTGACTCGATAGACATCCCACCCGCAGCTGCGACGTAAAACAGCTGCAAGCAAGAAGGGAGGGTTTCTAACCCGAGAACGGACTGGTTAGTCAACCCACATCCCTCACGAACTGGATCGCTGTCCTCTGGGGCGTACAGAACCAGTGTTTCTGCAACGCAGACGCTTCTGCAGCGCTTGTCTGTCGGTCAGTGATCGGATTACACCGCGTCTTTACCAGTCGTATGGCGTTTTCTCTTTCGAGTCGACGGACCTTATCGGGGTTTCCTTTACTCACTGCCGAGGAATTTGAAACCGCCTGTCACGCCTTTCTAAGTCGGGTTCACGTGGTGGATGATAGCAAGGTGGGATGGTCCTCCATCCGTCTCGATCAGCGGGTAAGTTAGTTGCCTCGCTTCAGGTCGTTCGGCTTTGTTCCACCCTCCTTATCTTGTTGGCTGTCGCTTGAGGGAAAGAATCATGGGAATCTGCGCGACAGTGATTGGAACATTGGCTAGGAAGATGGCCTGAACTATACACATCAATCCTTTCCCCCTTTCTTTTTTTCCCCCCTCCTCTTCACCCTCCCCCTGCTACACCCCACTCCTAGCTAAATCCATTAGGCAACCGGGCCCATCTTGAGTATTGCAAGGGATATCGGTCATGTGGGTACTCGTGATCGCGACGAGCCCCTCCCGGACCCAGAGATGAACGAAGAACTACAGTGGAAGGCCTCGGAAGAAGATCCCGTCCGTCGAGCTGGAACCCTTTCCATTCCGCTCTCAATTTTAAAAGTATCGTCTAACATCAAACAGGAAGCTCTCATTCGTGCGCCCGAGACCAGTGTCCGTTTACAGGTGATTTATAATATTCTGCTTTCTCCCACGTACCACGTCCCTGTCTTGTATTTCCAGTTACGGCAGGACAACCATCCGGGGCCGCTGGGAATTGACGCAGTCTACCAATACCTGGTACCGGAACAGTACAGAAAGGAACTCCAGAGCATTGGCATCATGGGTGGTATTAGTTTTGGCGTATGTGCAAGTTCTCGAATCCCTAGCCCAAGCTGGAGCTTATGCTTCGTAGTATCGTCCAGACTCCGGAACTCCAGCATTTTTCGTTCATCCATGCCAAACAACGGATGCGATGAGGCACATTGCAGGACAGCTCTGTCTCACTCCCGAGATTTATCTCATAATCTGGCTCGGGTTGGTGGGTAACCGTCTCGGTCTTCAGCTGCCAAAGGAATTCTTCACAGTCGAAGGCATGGAGACATTCCAAGGCACTGCGTGACTAAGTTTAAATCGATCCAAGAGTACTTCCTCCCCTCTCAGGTTGGATTCCCCCGGCCTGGCCAACGTATTCCCGGTACATAAGAGAAGCAATTAATCTTCATCCGATGAAGCTTCCATTGGCACATCACTGTCCTCGTCCATAGGGGCTTCCTCTTCGTCGCTTTCATCTTCACGAGGCCGCTTGACACCTTGGCCTGCTTGGGGTTCTCCATTAACTTCTCCGCTGGGCTTCGACGGCAAAGCCGCCGATCCTGGGGGCCCGCTAAATATCGATTTTTGGAGCTCTGTGGATGCTCCCGTGGCTTGACTGGCAGATGTTGTAGTGGGCACATTATACGTCCCGCGCAGCCGGGCAATGACGTCCGAGGGACCCTTAGCATACACGATTTTCTATATTCCCGAGTCAATGAGCGAGGAACAACCGCACTGCACTATGCAAAAACATACCATTTGTTTGCCGAAAAACTCAAACCCCTGAAGAGCCCGCATAGCCTGTGTGCTAGCTTGAACATCCTTAAAAACAATATGGGCCTGACCACGCATCTTTTGGGTCTTCATGGCGACAACATCAAGAACGGTGCCGTAGGTTGAAAAAAGCATATAGAGGGATAGCCGTAGGTCATGCTTGCGCAGTTTGTCTGGGAGGTTGGTACAATACAAACTGCGATTGGGGTCAGCCATGGTGCCCACTTTGAATTGGGAAGCAGTATTCAAGACTAACGTTTGGTTAGGGAGTCCGGTAGCAGAAGCGGGTTTACCTTGACCACCACCGCGCGCTGGAAGAACTCTGGTTGCCATCACTGCAGAGCGACGAAGGAGACCCGAGGGCAAAATAGAGCACTTTCCCAACAATACCTAGAGCAAAAGTCCGAAAAGCACACCCCGTCCAGGGAAGGAAACCAATGTAAAGTGAAACCCGAAGACAGCACAGCTTGCGATGCAAATGAAGTTGAACCTGGATTGAGTGAGAAAAGGTCATGTGATATATTATCTAATCATAGCCAATCCCGCCCGCGTCATCGTTCGGGGCCTAGCTTGGGCTGTGGTACTCCGTATACTGCCCACCTTTCCCCCCTCCCCCTTTCCGGTTGTTAACCATCGTACTTTACCTCGATTCTTCTGTCTCAATCACACGGCAGTAGAGAGCTCCTCCTGTCGTCTACTCACCATGGCCGCTCCCGAAGCTCATCACCTCTTCCACAACCCAATCGCCGATCATTCTTTCTCTCCGGATAAGGCGACCCTTGCAGTTGCGCGGGAAAACAATGTGGAGCTTTATCAGAAGTCAGGCAACAAGTTCTCGTTGACCGATGAACTCAAGGGCCATGAGAAGACGGTGACTGGTGTGGATATCGCTCCTAACAGTGGGCGTATCGTTACTTGTTCTCAGGGTAAGTTACCCCCTCTCCCTTGTCCTGCAATAGTTCCGTCTAAGTGACCACGGGAACAGACCGCAACGCCTACGTCTGGGAGCGGACCCCCACGGGTTGGAAGCCAACGCTGGTTCTCCTTCGGATAAACAGGGCTGCTACATTTGTACGGTGGTCACCATCTGAACAGAAGTTCGCTGTTGGATCTGGTGCTCGCGTGATCGCGGTGTGCTATTTTGAAGAGGAGAATGACTGGTGGATCTCGAAGCACTTGAAGAAGCCCATCCGCAGCACTATTACGACCCTTGCTTGGCATCCAAACTCCGTTCTTCTGGCTGCGGGGTCGACTGACTCCCATGCCCGGGTGCTTTCTAGCTTCATCAAGGGTGTCGACACGCGCCCGGAGCCCAGTGCCTGGGGTGAACGGCTGCCTTTCAACACAATTTGTGGCGAATTCTTAAATGACTCGGCGGGCTGGATTCAAGGTGTATCCTTCTCTCCCAGTGGAGATGCGCTTGCCTTTACTGGCCATGATAGCAGTGTCACCGTCGTATATCCGAGCGCGCCGGAACAGCCGCCTCGGGCGATGTTGACCATCGCCACTCGTCTTCTGCCTTTCAACAGTCTGATCTGGAACGGCGAGAACGAGATCATCGCCGCAGGCCACGTATGTCTTCTAAACATTCAATTTCAGCAGATGATCCAGTACGACACGTGTCGCTAACAGAAATTAACAGGATTGCGAACCGTACCGCCTTCGCGGTGACGAGAACGGATGGCAACTTGCTGGGACCATTGAGAGCAAGGCAGGGCCGGGTGCTGGAAGCGCTCGCGAGGAGTCTGCTCTTAACATGTTCCGCCAAATGGATCTTAAGGGACAAACCCAGGCCGATACCCAACTTAAGACTACGCATCAGAATACCATCAGCACCGTCAGAGTCTACGAGGAGGCCGACGGCGTCGTTCGCAAGTTCAGCAGTAAGAGATGCTCCCCTGCTAAGTTGTCCTGTGGGTTGCGCTAACATTTAGATAATAGCGAGCGGAGTCGATGGCCGTGTTGTTATCTGGACCATCTAGACAATTACATATTGTGCTAGATGCGTTCTTAGCACAGAGGTTCTAGCAAATTGAATGCAATGGACCCTTTACTGCATCACGAGAATATGGAGTTTGGAAAATAGCTTCAGGTAGATAGATTCTGTCCATTCGATGTATACACCATAAATATCAAGGGCACTTGATTTGCCTCGTATCTGATGGCGCTACATAAAGTAATAAACCAATTGCTAGTTACCCTGTAGGCCGTAGAGACTACTTGTGACGGCGTAATATGTCGGTATGATCTACCCGTAAGTTTACGCAAGGATACGTGCATCGTGACCGACTCCACATCACGGGGTCAAGTCAGGGTTCCCCAGATTCCTCTACGTCACGGGTTTGGCAAGTCTCCTTTCACTCTCCCAAGTTTGAACCACGATTCTCTCAGCTGCTGCACCGCAGCAGATACTACCAAAGACGATGAAGAAGCACTCAGCGCTATGATAGCTTTCAATGTGTTATTCAATCCCTATTCCTTAATCCTCACATACTTCTCCTTACTCTTGCCGGTTCGCGGATTCGTTCGCTCTGAAACGGACCGCATACCTTCAGGCCAGGACTTACGCCCTATCCCTGAGGAGATTTACAACTCTCTGGATGAGCTAGCGCGTGTGGTCGATGTCGCCTACTGCGTTGGCAGCACTGGGCTTCAGAAGCCCTTTCAGTGCCTGAGCCACTGCAGTGACCTCAAGGGGTTTGAGCTAATAACTGTAGGTCGTCCTGCCGTGAGCAGGAGACCCCAAATGATTAACCCTTTTGCTAGACATGGAATACTGGGCCGTTTCTATCGGACTCTTGTGGATACATAGCAGTTTCGCATTCGCCGTCACCTAACCGTATCATCGTCGCTTTCCGTGGTACCTACTCGATTACCAACACGATTGTTGATTTATCTGCCTATCCACAAGCCTATGTGCCGTACAACACCGGACATAAGAATGGCAAAAAAGAACCAAGCTGTTACAATTGCACTGTCCACGCCGGTTTCTTCACTTCGTGGCAGAACACGCGCTCGACGATACTCGACCACGTCGCAGCCGCAAGGGAGCAATATCCCGACTATAAGTTGGTTCTAGTTGGCCACTCACTTGGTGGGGCGGTTGCTGCGCTGGCTGGTATTGAGATGCAGCTGCGAGGTTGGGAACCTACGGTGACGACATTTGGAGAACCGAAGGTTGGAAACAGGGCCTTTGCCGATTTCCTGGGTAAGATATTCAGGTTGGACGAGAACTCCGCATGGCGGTTTCGCAGGGTCACGCATGTTTATGACCCTGTGCCCCTCCTGCCACTGGAGGAATGGGGATATGCGATGCACGCGGGGGAAATCTTTATCTCCAAGGAAGACCTTCCGCCATCTGTAGATGACGTTCACTTCTGCGAGGGCCCTCGCGATGCACGATGCATATCAGGGGAAGGAGGGGAAATGGCCTTGGCGGCCGCTCTTCATGAAAGGGCGTCTCTGGCTGCAGATGCGAAGTCGCAGGCTGGCTGGTCTGACGCTGAATCTACCGAGCAGCACAATATGCCAGACGGACATATATCTCAAACACCCTTGCACGTGCAGGAAGGTGCCATGAAGCACCGGGGCTTATTTGATCTACCAAGACGACTTATCCCGTCTAGATACCACCTATGGGAACTCTTGTTCTCCCATCGGGACTACTTTTGGCGAGTTGGGCTCTGTGTCCCTGGTCGTGACCGGGCAGGCAAGGGGTGGTGGACGTCGGATTCGTAGTCCCGATATTCTTCTTATCTACAAAGGGATGGCCCAAGTCATACATGGCTGTAGGAGCGAGTGCACGTATGAAAGACTGATCTCTTTGATACATTTGATTCATATTCCTTCTTCTAATCGAGTCACGTATGCAGCAATACAGCTAGCTAAATATCCACGAAATCATAAGTCCCTTAGATTACTCCCTTTGAAATTCGCACTCGGTGGGCTGATCTGAGCCCAAGAGCTGAGCAACATAAGCACAAGCACATGATCCACAGCGCAAGCAAGGGTCACAAGTAAACTGAACCCAATCTGATCTGCAAGCCACCTGCAATCCCCACAGATTAACTTAAAACAATCATTATCACCGGACAGCGGGGGGTCACCCCAATGAACTCAAACCGCGGCATAGTAAAAAGCACTCAGTAGATGATTCTGAGACCGCATGACAACTGAATTTCATTTCACCCCTCTTTTAATGTACTTATGGTTTGGCTTCCCTGCGTCGAACTTCAACCGTAGCTTGCTTACTGCATATGTATAAGTACGTGTTCATATCGCGTTTAAGTCGCTCACTAAATACTAGCACTTACAATTTGTGATGTTATGGGGGTTCCGTCGATGAATCTACATGATGTATTAGTGATAGTACATACATATATGGAATATATTGTGGGCTTGCAGTTGCATCATGGGCACCGGTGCCTTACTTTGTTTCCTTTTTGGCATGCTTAGTATTAGATATTGGCATTTCTTTATTTCTTTTATCGTGTAATCATGACGTATTATTAGTTTTAGTGGTTGAGAATCTGTATTGGGTGTGGCCGTGTATTGATGTATGTATCATGTGGCTCACAATCATAAATATCAAAGTTGAACATGTAACTGTGTATACCATGTGATTTTATATATTGGGCTAAAGGATTGCAGTATGCTAGATTTTGTCCAGTCTGACGGTATAGAGGGGCAACTGTGGGGAGGGACTGAGTGACTATTGGCTATGGGCCTCGAATGCGAGATCGTAGAGTTCGATCAATTTTGGAATACCTGCAACTACTTATGTTGCGACATGAGAAAAAGAAAAAAATAAAATTAAAAAAAGACAACAGGAGATAGCATTGCTAGGGATATCGATGCGTTTGCTGCTACAATTCTGGACGGGACAGGCATGTTGAATGAATAAAGACGACAGCATGAAAGAAAAGCAGTTATAAATTGGACAAAGAAAGAAAGAGAAAACAAAGGACAAGAGAATAAGTGCAGAAGTAACGGCTGAAAGAAAGAGAAAATACAATGAGGCCATCAATCATAACACATACTTCAAGCGTCATCACTTTCCTGGCTCCAGGCTAGGAACAATCACAGGCCCATACTTGACCACAGCACCAAATGTCCCATCACCCTGTACCATATAGTCCACCGCAAGGTTCAACTTCCCACTTCCTTGGCCTGGATGACCGTACATCGTGTTGACAATATCCGGGTCATAGGCAACAATCGCAACATAGTTCCGACGACCAATCAGCTTGCGGTGTTCACGAGGCTGACCAGTAACATCAGACTGAAACAGCTCCAGCATGTCTTCCTTAGTATCGGTAGGCTTTGAGGGAGTCGAGCGTTGACCGTTAGCTGGGACATATAGGGGTTTGTTGCTACCATGGAGAAGCTTGATGACATATGATGGTGGAGGGTTGTTAACCACAGGTGACGAGATAAGTTGATACATGGTTTTATGGTTGGAGGGGAAAGAGGGATCATGCACGAGTCCGGCACCACAGGCGTTGACGGCACCCGAAAGGAAAGTCATGCGGAGCGACTTTTGATGCGCAATGCCCTGGAGGGTGCGAATAAGGTAGGTTCTCTCAAGATCCTGTCCATGCGATTAGTTCTGTGGTTGTGCACCGATAGTAAATATAGTCTGGGGTTACACGTACCTTGGACTCATGGGTCCACTGATCACGCAACTCATCTAAAAGATCAAGTTCACCGAAAGGACTGAGGATTCCGCCCATCAGACCGGTTTTGCCCACAGCCCGTTTAACCGAATCGAATCCCGACCCAACCATGCCCTTGGCTCCAACTACGCCAGCCACGGAGCTGGTGACTTTTCCAAGGGCATTATATGCCCCCGTGACTGCCCTCTTCCCCGTAGCAACCGTGTGTGCTATGTGTTCAGCAGTCTCCAGGCGCGGATAGATAATTGGCACCGAAAGCATCCACAAGCAATGCTGCACGGTTGGAGGTAACATGGCAACCTTGGGGAAGATTCCCTGATACGTGGGTCCAGCAACGACCTGGTGTGGATTGCGCTCTGAGCGACAGTCAAGGCCGACGGCAACAACAGCGGGCCCCAGGTATTTGACAAAATGCCAGCCAGTGCCGGTGATGGTAAACAGATCGACGTCGCTCCGCGAATTACGGAGCAGGTCCAGTGTGGTATGGTGCTGAAATAGCAGATACATCTCTATCCCTACTCGTCCAATGTTCTTGAACATGTTGGAGAACTGCATGTGCTCTGGGTAGGATCCAAATCCGTCGAAGCTAGCTTCATCAGCATTGGCTCCTTTTGGAGGGGGGCAAGGCACAGACTTACATATCATGATCATCAATCTGACAGACATAAGGGATCTGAGCAAAGGCTTCTCTCAGATAGGGCTGATCGAAATGGCTCGTATAATAATGAAAGTAGGCATGAGAGACGTCCTCTTCATGGGCAGTTGTCCATGGCGTCTTCTTCCGGATTTCTTTCCCACTGAGTGCAAGCCATTGTTTGAGGCATGGAACCTCCTTCCACATCCGATCGGCATATATCTGGCCTCCCAGACACAGCTGGGCATGGAATCCTCCAATCTCATTATGCTTCTGCATGATGTCTTTCCACATAAAGCCCACACCGCCGAGGCGGGATCGCTCATTGGCATTCACATTCATAGAAAAATCATTTCCCGAAGTGGTGATAAAACGCCAACCAGTCTCGTATCGTCCCGCAACAAGGAATTCGTAGCGTGTGCAACCAAGATGTGAGGTGATGGCGTAAGTCCATTTAGCGGGGCCGGCGTCTTCCATACGTAAATCAACTTCGTACTTGTAGAAGGTCCACCGCTGATGGACTGCAATCGGCATGGCTTTGAGCTGACGCGGATTCGGAGACAGGTCGACACTCTGGTGAATATGAATGGTGGGAGGCTGTGCGGCATCTGTCACCAAGAGAATGGAGCCGAGCCAGATGCCACGCTCTACATCCATGTTGGTGTAACGGAGATAGGGGCCAAAATAGACCCCATTTGTGGGAGCAACTTTGTACATATCAATCCCACTAATTGGAGGGGGCCCAGTAGTGAACCCTGACACAATTGGGGATTGTAAACTCTCAAACCCTGGAGTCAAGGGAAGACCAGGGGATGCCAAGGGTTTACCGAACGTTGATAAAGCGGGCGATGCCAGAGGATGACTGCTATATACGCTGCCTACCGGGGATAGCGGGGTTTCGTTGAGGTTCAAAGGGGTCGGACCCTTGGGGAATTCCCACTGCGTGGACTGAGTCGGGAGATGAATATAGTAGTATTGGCCTGAATTGGGGTCGAGGTGAGCGATCCAGCCTTCTGGTAGCGGTGGAGGTGAGGATGGTGCCACAGATGGTGTTGGTAGATTGCTGACGATAGTTTGCTGCACGATCGGATGGTTTCCATTCTGAATTGGAGATTGAGTGACATTGGGAGGAGAGTGTCTCGACTCTTGTGGCTGCGGCTGCATCTGCGGCGGGGGCGACTGCTTCTGTTGCGGCTGCGGCTGCGGCTGCTGTTGCTGTCTTGATTCATTTGCAAATGCTGGGTGATCATGGGCTGACACAAACGGACCAGTGGCCATTGCAGCGCCGTTTGTATCATTGGCTTCTTTGACGCCGTTTGCCGGTCCAGAGGCCGCAGGGTGCCCAGTTGACGAGCTGGGCTGGCTCGTCGACACCGGAACACGCTGCTTCTCATTCGGATAGCCCTGCGATACTACGGGTCCTGGGACACTCGAGTAGGCCGGAGGAGGGGAGGAACTTATGCGCATTCTTTCCAAGTCCTGCTCTAGTGCATTCGGGGGAATTCTGGTGGGCTGGGATGCTGGTTGAGGATGCACTGACGCCCCTGCAGGCATAGGGGGCGTGGAACTTGTCGAAGGATTACCTTCAGAAACAACCTCAGCACCTTGATAGACCGTGGGTGGCCCATGTGGCTGACTTCCGGGCTGCTCCGTCGGGGTCCATGGCCTTGGGACCGGTGGAGTTGGCTGTTGATTTCTGGGCTGCTGGCCTGCATATTGCTCGGCTCTTCTTTGGGCAGCTGCACTCTGAGACTGAAGTCCTGCTAATGTCGACGTCCCAGCAATCCCCGAGGCGGCATACCGCGCTTCAATATCAGACGTCGCATGCTGCCCTGGCTCAACCACCGGGGTTTCTGGGGGCGGCGGAGAACCGCGCTGAGCACGAGTCGTCGAGTTTGACGCCGTCGAGCTTATTCGATTGATGGCATTGTTTGGCGGCTGTAGATTCTGTGCTGCTGCCAGTCTGTTTGAAGCTTGAGGAGGCGGATAATACTGTTGGCGGTGGTCTGGATACCCGGTCGACTGGGATTGAACGTTTGGAGCTGGAGCTGGAGCTGCCAGCCCCGGCATGCGCTGATGAAGTCGCGAAAACAATCCTTCGCGGTCCGGAGAGTCCCCTGCGGGGGATTCGGGCAAGGGTTTCGGGACATTGCCTCGTCGCTCAGCTAGAGTGGCTTGCTTGGGCTCACGCAGCCGCAGAGATGCCATATAATCGGAAGTCTGAGATACGCCGGTGCCAGCCGACATATGGCTGGGGACCGTGGGAGAATCTCCTAGAGCAGCTCCGCCTTGAGATACTGGACTGGAGCCACTCGAACCTGAGCCACGAACATGTTGGGGTCTCTGTCTATCGTCGGGATAAGGCAGAGGGGCACTGTGCGCCGACGCCGGGGAAGGGGTTTCTCGCTTGCCAATGCGCAGCGGTTCAATTACGGGTGAGTCGGCCTGCGGTTGCCCCGATGCGGTATTCAAGAAGAGTTCTTCCTGGGAGCGATAGCCCTGACGGCTTTCGCTGGGACGACTCATGCTGTCCTATGTCTTGCTAAATAGATAGGGAACCAGTTGGGAATGAAAGATAGCTTAGCTGGAGAGAGATTTGAAGTTAGCTTCTTCAAACGAGCAGAGCGCCCATCCGCGAACGAATGCGACAAAAGAAGAGGGAAAGGGGAAAGGGAAGAGAGAGGGAAATGCGGGGGGGGTGAGGGAAGAGGGACAGACGGACTGGAAGTCACTGGATCTGATAGAGGGTGTCTAACGACCGTCGCTCATACTTCGTCACTCTTGAAGCCAGACAAAGGGCCAACTTGCAATGCAGAGAGAGAGAGCGAGAGAAAGAGAGAGAGAGAGACAAGGACAGGTAGAAACCAAAAAGGAGAGAGAGAGAAAGCAGGAGGCAGCGAGATTCCTCTTTGGCAAAGCTGGTGGCTCGACAGATTAGCCGCCGAGGGGGATGCTGGCCGGCGCATCATTGGCTCAGCGCAAAGGCCCCAACGGTGCATGAGGGGCAGCTCTCCGCGAATAATCAGTCGGAAATGGTTGATCTCCTCCTTCACGGCGCTGCAGGTTTGACTTTCCCTGAACCGTGTGCGATGCTCCAGGGTTGCATGTGGCTGCTACTAGCACTAGGCCTGGTTTGTGTCGCTTTTCCATCTGCCGGTGGGACCCTGAGATATACTTAGCAGATGCTTCTTGTCTTCCCCGGGCGTCGGGATCGGCCCGCGGCGGTACCCTAAGATGAATAATATATGGACGATCCAACATGATTCAACGATGAAGCATGAGTCAAAATTCAGCCATTTCATGCTTGACTTTATACTATTATTATCATCCTGACTTCGTTCAATTCATAAGTCCTATCAAAATGCTAAAAGAGGCGCTTGGCGTATACGGGCCCCGTCTATCTCCGCAGTCCAGACCAACTCAAAATACTAAATTCCAAGAGAGCAATATCCAAATCTCCCAACTCCAGCTCCAATGATGTCCCTTTAGAGAACTCCCAAGCTTATGCCTAAATGAATCAACCGTAGTTGACTAACGGTCGCCCATGCTCAGCCAGCACCTCGGCCCATTCAACCTCCAATGCATGGCCTCCACGCTGAGAATGCTGGATTTGCCGTTCAAAAAATACCTGCAACATCTGACACGTTGTGGCCGCGTTATACCCAATTTCGCCTTCCTCTAGGTTGGAAAGGAGCTCCAACGCCATCATTTTTAGCCCACTCGTCGGGGCCACGGCGCCCGCCAGAAAAATCGGAAAGGCAATGAATCGACGGTCCCCTTCTCGTCCCTTCTCCACAATCCCCGATACGATCTGTAGGATTCGCATGGCGTGGTGGTGGATCTCCTCGTCCGCGACAGCCCCGGACTCTAACCGCTGTCCTGGCCAGGAACTGGTCGAGGAGAAGAGCAGGCTGGTGTGATATAGAATAGCAAGCTAGATGGTACTGCCGTTAACACCATGGGCTCAGGCGAAGCCAAAGGGACGAACTCACCGGCTGCAACAGACTCTGCGATTGTGATGAGAGACTAACTTGATTTTGGTACAAATACCCAACCTCCTGCTGGCTCCACAGCCTTTTGAGCACGTCATGTACCTCCCTTAGTTCCTGTTGCTGCGAACCCAAGTAATTGTTGAGGTAAGACCCTTTGGCACCCCGCGTTCCAACAGCAAGGAGTCCGATTCGGATGGCTAATATGAAGGTGTCGTGATATAACCGCACGATTAGAGGTAAGCTGTTATCGGTGTGTGGATATTCCGAATCACTGGGCCCAACTGCGTAACAGAGCGACTGCAAGTCTAGTAACAGCTGGTTGTCGAGAACGGCACGGACAAAATCCCCTGTGCCTGCGCCGCTGAACAGCGCATATAGGTCCACGTGGCATACCCACCAAGCAATGCAAGGGAATCGCTCAGCCCCCGGAATTGATTGCCGCAGCAAGGCTAAATGAAGCAGCCGAGAGACGTGATGCGACCAAAGGTTTGAACCACCGGGGTTGGCCGCCACAACCTAGCGAGACTTAGTCTTTAACCCACGTTATTTCACCCAACGCCTTGGTCGCAAGCATCAGGAGGAAAGGAGCCGACCGGAAGACTCACTTCATAAACAAGCAGCAGAAAATGTGTCAGATACAGAGCATCAGACAAGAGATCTTCGTTGCAGAGACTATCATGGGAAAGAGCGGCAACCCGATCGTAGTAATATGAGGCATCGATGTGCTGGCCACCCCCTTGGCGAACCAGACTGAGAGCAGATAGAGCCATTATAGTATGGTATAGCTAACAACACAGAGATTAGCTTCCGCAAATCTTTCTATGACCCCCAAAATGGCAAGCATTACGCACAGGAGGGAAGTTCGACGCCTCGTGTTCGAACACAGTCGCATCCAGCCCATTGATGTTAAAAAGGCCAGCACATGGAAGAAGCTGCAAACACACGAAATGACGAAAGTGTTCTAGAAGGAGCATTTGGAAATGATTGGGTTCGGCGCTTTCCTGCATATGCTGCACACTGGTGGCCGGATAGTCCGGGATTAATTCCGCTACCGAAGGTGCAGATAAGGAGAAGCTTCCCTGGTCTGATTCAGGTGATTGAGGAGTACTTCTTCTGTCTGGGTATAAGTGTCTTCGTGCAGACCTGAAGCTCTTCAATACGACGACATTTGGTCCGTAGACCCAGTTGTCATCGATTGGGGGATTACTGCCACTGGCGCTTTCAAGCAGAGCATCGTTCCCTGTGTCTTGTCCAGAGGCCTCGCCTGCATACTCAGGCAGTCGAGAAAAACTCTCTGGGAAAGCTATCACATGGTAGGTCCCAGGTGCCGCTGCTTGTGCCTTTCTCTCTCGCTCTTCATCTGACGTGAGTGTCGCAAAGGGCGGGAGTAAGTCGCATGTAGCTGGAGGCACGCCTGTTTTCGGCGAAGTGACAGTCGCTGAGAAGAACCATAATTCATTAGAGCCAATCCAAGAGTAAATGAGGATTAAGGCTGCTCACGGTCCCAAACCGCGTTGCCTGCGGTCCTAACATCCAGCATGCGCTCCCTTACGCGACGGGTATCATCTCGGAAGCACAACCGCGGCCGGTAGTCACAAACATGGCCCAGACGAGCGCATTGCTGGATCGAATCAGGTCAGCATGGAACCGCGCAGCGCTCACATTAGATCTGGATGAAGTACATTACACTGAGGATGGACTTCGTCGCACTTGACTGGGTTGCGAGTCAGTACATCGTACATCGTCGCATTGGAGCAGGCCGAAAAAAAAAAGGCTCTTGCGGAGATCTGATTGTTTCTTCGGGAACTCAAGCACTCACCCTTGCGGCTCTACTTCCAAGTAAGGCAAGATAAGTCAGTATCCCATTGTACGGAACGTCGGATATTACGGTTTTCTGACACGGGAGGGTGGGCTCACTCTGCACGTCCTAGGAGGGTAAGATGACATTAGAGATACCCACAGAACGGGAAATGAAGGCTTTCTCCGCGCCAACGGACATACCAGCAACCAGTCCGGGAACGGGGTGGGAAGCGCAGTCGGTGTTGTCGGACCGAAACCTTCTTGGGCGTCGGAGGGTCCAAGCCGGCGCTGGGGCTCACCAGACAACTCTTGGGGGCAATGATAGGCAATCGTAGAGGTTGCTTCCTGGAAGACCGACCAGACCGGGTTGTCATCGATATACTGACGGCCGCCATGGAGGAAGTCGCTTTTAGGGCTATTGCTGGGAATGACGCATCAACAAGAGATGTCTGGATGGTGACGGGAGCGTAGGCACCCATACTCTATAGGCTCCCGAAACTATGTCTGTAAACGTGTGGATTCTATAAGAGAGGGAGAAAGAAGAGGGAGTAAGTGAGTGCATCAAAGGGAAAAAGAATATATAAAAAAAAAGAAACGTTAGATAGGAAGTGGAGTGAGGATGTCAGTAGGGTAACTATAGATGGAGAGAAACAACCGTGGCCGAAAAGTTAAGAGGCAAATGGGTTGGGGGCAACGGATGAAGATAAACGAAATCGGTAATAGTATAGTATCGTTTATGCATCCTGTAAAGGGACTATGTATAGGGTGGAGCGAACAATGGCGGCTGAAAAGAAAAAACAGTTGAGGGAAAGGGAAAGAAAAAATCTAAAAATGGAAGAAGGGGAGCGAAAAAGAAAAAAAAAAAAGAACGAAAGATAGGAGTGGGAATCTGGAGTCTGGAGTCTGCAGTCTGGAGTCTGCAGAGCTGTCCAGAAGAGTAGTAGTTCGTGAGGGTGAGAAAAAGGGAAAGATAGGTAGGATCAGGTACGGAGTACAAGACGGAGCTGATGCAGAAACGCCATGAAAACTAGAATAAAACAGGCGTTCTCAAGATCATCAGCCAGCCCTGTCCACAGTGGCGGTTCCGATGGGATGAGATAGGGTGGAAGGCGAACAGCGAACAGGCGAATGAAGAGGCAGCAGCCCAAATGCCACCTTGACGCGAATGGCGTGTTTGTCTGTGGATAATTCAAAGAAGAACTGAGGGAAAAAAAAAAAAAAAAAAAAAAAAAAAAAAAAAAAAAAAAAAAAAAAAAAAAAAAAAAAAAAAAGGGAGGGGGAACAACCACCGGGATGGATGTGGTTAGGCCGGTATCTTAGGCGAAGAGACTTGGTTCCAATGAAGGCCATAAACTACAGACTCTACTAGTAGTAGTACTCAGCCATCCTAGACCATGGATTGCAGATGCCAACCATGTGGCAGCGAGGGTAAAAAGGAAGAAGATTTGAAATAAAGTCCTCCGGGGCCGAGAGAAGAGGGACAGGCCAGTCATACCAGCCAGAGCAAAGTTGCTACCAAGGATGCTGCTGATGGGACGATGCTTTTCCTTCCTCAGCCTTGGGGTCAACGTCTCCTTCCTGGCATCCAATCAGGTCCAGGGACCCCTAAGTGGAGGTAAGTAGTAGTAAGTACCTAGTTAGTACTAACCATGATCTACTTCATGACACACAGTTGTCGCAGCTTGTCCTCGGTTTACGATTGATTGATTTGATGGATCGATTGACTGATGGATTGATCGATACGTTTCTCCATGGGCACTGGCAGCCTGGGCTATAGTAGTGACCTGAATATAGACCAGGGCCCACGGTTCAGGCTGGATTTTGGGGGAGGGGGGCCGTCAGGTGAGTTCGGCCACGCCGATATACGGGGGGCCGTGAACGAGTCATGATGGTTCTGTTCTGTCTCATGGGGTCAGGCTTGGGTCAGTATCGGACAATGCATCCACTTTTAGACTCGCGAAGCCAGGATGGGTGCAAGCTCCGGACTGGGCTTGAGCATCTAACCCAATCTTTGGTCGGTTCACATCATAGTTTTCGGGGCCGAGCCACGCTGAGTGGCTGCCAGAAGGATGATGATAGTCTGGCGAACCAGGCGAACGGATGTATCTATGTATCTATATTCAACATAGCGGCAGTTGAGAAAGGTGGGAGAAGAGCTTGCAAAGCGCATCCACCCAACCTTACCAACCTTACCAACCTTACCAACCTTACCAACCTTACCAACCTTACCAACCTTAATGGCAGAGAGCAAGTACTTTGTACCTATTGAAAACTGACTGATCCGTCGGATGAATGGATGGATGGATGGGCGGCTTCCAATGCCGGCCAGGGAAGTAAGTTACTTACGTTAACTAACGGGATCAGAACGATGGGGTACAATCCACGTAACAACCGGCGTATGTTCGGTCTACCTGCAGCAAATATTACCATCCAAGACCAGCTGGGTCTGTACCAATAGCCGGTGCTAACCCCAGATGAATCTAGTCCTGCTCTGCCAGACGCGCCTGGGCCAATCTAGATTCCTCGGGCTGTCCGCACCCACGCCCAGTACAGTAGCTACTTTCTACTAGCTCAAAGCAAACAACCTCCCCGTCACCGCTTCCTCTCTTTTCCCTCCTTCCTTCCATCCAGTTCCTCCAGATTTGTCCATGGAACGGACATCCCATTCTCCGGCCAGTGGTGGCTTGGATGTAGCATGATTGGTCAGGCGCAGTACGCTACAGAGGCAAGTTAAGGTTGGGTATTATGCACCTTGGCTATGTCTGTCTCTGTCTGTCTGTCTGTCTATCTGACTACTTACTTAGTACTGTAGGTCCTCCGGCGCTTCTGCCCAAGCGACATGTTTACAACCACGCCCCGCCCCTTTCCTGTGCACGCCTCCTGATTGGGACGGACACATTCAGGGTTGGCTCGGGTTCCTGACAATACCCAGTCGAGGTATGGAGTAAGGTGGATGATACGCATACAATACTAGTAGTATGTCCCATGATCAATGATCCGATTCTGAGACATTTTTCCCCCGCATATGTACCCATGTCACAGGAATCATTGCAGATGGACGAGTGCCCGATCGAGGATCTGTCGGACTGGTCCCGATCGCTCCTCTTCCCGCCAGTTTTTCACCAGTTTCTGGATGTCCTGATCGATCGGAAGTTCTGTCTGCTTGCAGAGCTTAAAGTATGCGACAGCCGCTTGGGCGCGTTCAGCTCGAACGGCTTCAACGGAGAGGTCTATCTCATGGGCGAAGATCTCTGCTGTTAGTGCCGCCAAGGACTCCTGGGGCCCACGGCGATCGGGTTCGCCACTCCGTTCCGATACCCACGCCCCGAATTGGTCAAAAACTGTGCGCAGCTCCCGGTACAACGTAACCTGCACGTTTCTGCCCCCATGGCCCACTAGTATTCTGTGCAACACCGGTCTCGACTTATCCAGGTGTCCGTCGATGGCTTGATTTCCGTTAGCATATCGATGATTGGGTGGGGATGCCAACTGCAGGGGAACCCACTCTGTGCTGATGTATGCGATGCAAGACTGAGGCATTGTAAGAGACATACCACACAAGCCGCCAACGTGTCGTCCAGGGTTTGTCTGCAGAGGTAATCAGCAACTGCCGTGCATACTCGCCGCGTCACACGTGAATGAGTTTCAGAAATCTTTCTGCGCGAACCGCCCGCAATCCAAGCCCAATCCAAAGTAAACCCGAGAACAGAGGGATGAGAAAAAAGGAATCATCGTGGACTAAAAGCATACAAAATACAGACGAGGAACATACTTCGGCTTTTGATCCTTGCCTGAATCCACATCCATTGGATCTCCCTGATCTTCAACATCATCCAGCACGTGGGTGACAATGGCAATAGCGTCTGACATCAGATCCAAGTCTTTGCGTGCTTGAGCTACTCCGCCGAGAGCAATAAGCGCGTGGGGGCGATATGCAGGGTTATTCCGCTTCGCTTCTCTGATAGTGATAGTCTAGAGGGGAATAGGTGAACCGTCAGTCAGAGCTTGGCCCTCAAAAGTTTTCAAGTGCAAGAAGGGAAATGCCTACCTTCATTGTTTCTCCAAGTGTTGGCTTCTCTTGCCACAATTTCTTCGCTTGGCCCGAGAACTTGACAAACGCTTCTAGCACAACTTCTTTGCCCTCCCACGTTTTCCCAGCCAGAGCTCTCTCTAGCACAGGCCATACATACTCGCTTGTCGGGAGATCGAGCTCCGAGTCCATCGACATAATGGCCTTTGCAAGCCCCAAAGCTGCCGTATGCTTAATGGCCCACCGGGCCGAATCTAGATTGCTCGATACAAGGTCGGTAATCTCCTTGATGTAGAGAGACACCGTGCGGTTGCCGCCGACATTATCCTGCCACGTCTTTTCGAATACCTCCCTGACGTGCTCATCCAAGTCACATTTGGACACGAATATGAATGGCAGTGCTGCCGTAGCGAATGCCATAAACCGGTCATTGGACAACTTCGAAGCGGCTTGCAAGATCTCGGCTGAAATAACGCGCTGGTTAGAGTCTTCGGCGGTCAAGTATAGATCTTTGGCATGCTCGATTGTCTTCAGCACTCGATTATCCGAGGCGAGACGTAGGAGATAGCCAATAGATGTACAGTAGGATGCACTGACGGTGTCATTGCGATCCACCACGAATTTGCCGAGGATTTGTATGAAACGATCTGCATAGGGGCGGAAGAGCATGGATCGCATGCTCAAAAGGACCAAAACTCGGCTACAGCCAACCTTGGATGGAAGTCCAACGGCCGAGCGCAACACGCCTTCAAGCCTCGTGGCAAACTCTTTCATACTCTGTTCATCCAACATGTCTATGAGGTATCTCTCAATCACTTCCATCATGGGAGATGTTCGAATGCTGGACAACCTCATCTTGTCGATATCCTGGCCTGTCAGGCCATATTTATCCGCGTTCAGGTGGACGTAGTTGACTGCTTGTGGCTCCAGTGAACTCAAAGAATTCAGAAACTGTTCCATTATGTGGGGTATGAACGGCCGCAATGGTCCACCTGGGCTTTTTCGGATCATTTGGATCAGAGCCCCAATGGCGAATCCTTGGACCTCCTCAACACCGGATTCCATGCCCTTATCACTCAATAGGAACGGGATGGCGCTTCGTAGCATGGTTTCGGCTCGCTTGGTATCAGTGTCGCTTGTCTCCAATGTGCGGATAATCGCATTGGTAATCGTCTGGCAAAGCTTCAGTGCTGAAGCTCGGACCGTCTCTTTAATATCATCTAAGAGCTTGAATGCCTTGGTAAAGATCTCATCCATGTACTGCGCATATTTCTCGGGCTGACGACCCTGAATTAAATCCGCGATTGCAGTACAACTTGCCTGCCGAACTCTCCATTCCCGGCCTGTCAACAGGCTTTTCAACAGATCATTCATGATCTCATCAAAATGGGTCTCAATAACTTCCATTGGATCCTTGACCAAGGCCTTCCAGATGGTATTCATGGACCGTTGAACATTGGGATTAGGGTCAAAACGGTAGCGAAATAGCTTGGGAAAAATCTTAGGGTTCTTTGCTAGGTAACCATTGACGCTCGAGTCAGAAAAGATACTGCTGATGCCCATCTTGCTGAAGGCCGCACGACTCGACCAGAGGGCATTATTCGAAGCTAAGGACATGAAGCGATATACGAGGGTTGGGTCACCAGCTTCGGCTGCGAGGTTCATGATGTCTTTGTAGGTATTGACGGAGGAACCGCCGCCAGTAGGGAGAGCCCCAGGTTCGAAGAGCTCTGTATTTTGGCTGACCCTGCCACCCGAGAGGGTCGAATTGTTCTCGGTGAAAGAGTTTACCAAGTCACGCACCAAATCGTCTTTCAGGCTCTGGTCACCCATGCCGTAAACGAGGCTTAATCCCTGTGCACCAGTTTCCTGTACCACCTCGTCTCGATCAACGAGCAAGCTGCTGAATGAGCTTTGGCATTGACGCAGACGATCTTGCATCAGGGTTAGATGACCGCAGTTTTTGACCAGACTTAATAGCCAAATGGCAGATGCCCTTTTAAGCGACGGTTTCGGTGCGCCACATTTGGCAATGATTGTGTCAGCCACACTCGCAAGCACTTGTTCCGGCACATTTGAGTTTGGTGACTCGGAGTCTACATCGAATTCCAGGTTCAATGATTTTGAGTCCCAGCCAGCCGCAGCATTGCTTAGTGCTTCACCGACAGTGAAATGTATCTCAGGGCTGCGGATTTCATGCAGATCATAAAGGGCTTCTGTTAGGGTACTGAAGTGTGAATCACCAGTGTTCTCCTTTGGGAAGATTGCAGACAAGAGCCCCAGTGCCATTATGGCCACTTCGCTTTCGGCCTTTGCGTCCCGTACGAGGACTTCCTTGATGACTTTCCACTCCGCATCAGAAAGCATAGAAGGAGACAGTATTTTGGAGAGACTGAGCTGTCCAATTGCTAACTGTGCAGAACGTCGAAGGAGTGAGTCGCGCGCGTTTTCGATCATGTCACGGATAGTATGAACGAATTGATCTATATGGACGCTGGGCACCCTAGATCTCATGTTACGGAATGCAAGTCTGCTCAGTATATATGATAGTGCCAATACTGCTCCTCGGACCCTAAGTGCACCCTCACCAACTGCAGTCTTCCATGACGTTATGCACTCTGAGCACTCCGCAACCAGTGCTATGAGATCATTATCAGGAAGGGCAGGATGAGAGGCTAGGATTCCAATAGCGCGGGCGGCCATGGCCTGAATATCTTGGTCGTTACTCTTCAACGGGATCCGCAACACTAGTGTCTGCGGGACCACCGCCTCCACGATGTCGTTCGAGGCCAAAGAGCATATACTAACGAAATGTGCTCCGCATTGCTGTAGTCCCTCCCGGCTCTCACGGGTGAGGCCAGCCAAAGCGCTGTTCAAAAACAGAACAACCCCTTCTTTGTCGGTAGCCCGAAGATAATGTTTAAGAGACGACCTTGCTTGTTCGTCAGATGTAAGCATCACGTCAAGTTTAGTGTCCCAGTCTTGATCGACCTCTATGGTGGTCTTAGAAGCAGAAAGTGACTCCCAGAGCAGAACGTTCCGGATGAATGCTATAGTGGAAGCAAATGCGTTCTTAAAGGGCCCTGCTACAATTTCCGATGCAGAAGAACCTGATACCCCGTTTGAGGTTGCCGACCCGAATATGAAGCGAGTAAGTTCCGAAAACTTTGGGAAATCATACCACATAGAATCTTTTGTGCGTGAGACCGAGTGGTTGGCATTTGAAGGACTCAGAAGCCGGTACCAGAATGGATGTAGACCTTTCTTGCCTTCCTCCGTGACTTCGTGTTTGTTTTCTGACCCGCGCGCAATCGCCATGAGGTCTATCCAGCGGGCGACAACATCGTGGTATGGCAGAAATCTGTTAGCAAAACGTACAGCAGCGTACTGGGGGCCGCGAACGACAGCGAACCCGCTTGTTGGATCTTCTCCTCCGGGGTAGTTGTTCATCTGACGAATCAAGAAAGGTCGCAGTTGGTCTTGAAAGTCATCGTCCCAGCTATCTATTGAGGAGTTGAGTATGCTGCCCAGGGCTTGTTCAATGCTCACAAATATCTGAGAGCTGGAATCATCAGAGCTCAAGGAAGTAAACAGCCATTGAATGAGACCAAAGCCAGAGAGACCTTCCTGCCCATCGTACAGTTCAAAATTGGTTTTGGGAACCATAATACCAATGCTTTCGTACGCAAGACCCCGTAGACTCAGATCTGTACTTGGAAGCTTTTGTCCGCTGGCGGCTGGACTCGGCCATCCTTGAGACTGTATGAAATCTCTCAAGCCTGCTATTAGCTTCGGTGCTATTTCTTCCAGGTCGGACGGAGAACCCATTTTTACAACCCAGGTAGTAAAGTTGAATATTTGTGTTCTCAACTTCGAGGCCAACAATCCTTGTGATGACCTTGCGGCATCTGATAGAAGACCTTCTTCAATCACCCGCATAACACTCAATTTATCCTTCGTTGCTCTAATCGATTTTCCTAGGAAAACCAGGATTCTGGTCTGCAAAGCAGGTCGCGCCGGAGGTGCGCCATCAGGCGTTGCGGCTCCAAAGTACAAGCCATAAAGTTGCTGTACAACATCTGGCGCCTCCAAGTCTGGAATGAATCTCTTCAGCGTCTCTTCACCAATATCGGAGAGACGAGAGTTTGCATCTGCAGACGCAATAAGAGCCGGCAAGAACCGCTCTGTGTGGCTGAAAGCTCCACTAGCGAGAAATCTCAAAGCGTTAACTTTGGTCTCTGTCAGGTTCAGGCCACCTTCTGCAGAAGGATTCCATGTTTCTGTTACCGGGGCGTCCTTGTTCAAGAATGTATAATCTGCAGGGGACAATCCGGGGCAAGTGGGCGAGTTCTTATCAGCGGGGAAAAGGAGCAGCAATTTCTCAAACCATTTCGATAGAAACTGCGTGTCTTGATCAGATAGACCTAGTCGAGCTTTGAGCTGCACATCATCGTCGCTGCCCTTTGGTGGTAGCTTAAGCAAGGGCAGAAGCCGCAGGACAAGGTTGAATACCACGGCAGCTTGGTTGACAGATGTCCCGATCTCAGATATTCCCTGAAGCAAGGGCAGCAAAATTTCGACTCTTGCATCTGAGCCCAGGCGATCAATACCTTGTTGAAGGTAGATCAAGTCGAAATGCCGGATGAGCTGGGACTTTTGCTCTTTGAACTGCTTCAGCAAAGCCGTCACCGGCAATTTGATAGAGGGAGCTTGGACTCTAGTGTTGACATGCTGGCAAACTGCGATTACTTTATTGCGAACAGCAAGACTTTCAGATCCCAGCTTCAATAGGAGGGGAGGTAGATATGTATTAAGCAGAGTTTCCAGTTTGGCATCGGTATCCGCCAGCGCGATCCGAAGCTCAACCTTGGATATCAAGCTCAACTCGCGAGCTTCGGAGCTTGCTGGCGTAGTGTCTGTAGCCATAGAAATTGAGGTTATGTCTTAAGATGAAAAAGAAATCCACATTGATATAATGTTGGCACTGTAGTAAATCTATAGAGTTTCCTCAGGGGTATGATGGGGGGTAAAATAAGTAAGAAAAGGTCTTGTGTCTGAGCTCAAGGCAGACGATTCAACGTCACCCCCGCCAACCCGAGGCCACGATAACATCCCGATTGGGAAGACAGTATCCACATTAGTCATCATCCGGGGGCTCAGGTACCTACCGTATGTAACGGATGTGTATGGCGGTATTTCTGCCTAAGGTGTCTCGGCGGCGATGTGTTTGAATATCTGGAGCACATCTAGTAAACTATATCTGGGGATGTAGTGATGAACGTAAGCCAATAATTACTTTTGATAGTTTTAAAATAGGTAAACAGAGATTAGATGGCATGAGCCACATTAAGTGGTTCGTGTAATACAATCGTCATCATTCGCTGAAGGTCAAGCGTGGGCTGTAGCCGCCCTTCTCTGTTCAGCTGCCTCACCCCTCAAGAACCTTGCAACTTCACCTTCGGCGTTGGCCAGATGACCGTTTGTGGGTTTGTTCTGGCTTGAAATACCAAAAAGACACTGCCATAGATCATCCTTCTTGACCATTTCACCCCCTGATGCCCCGCCTGCCATTAACTTGGACAGTGCTGCATCTTGCATCTCTAAGGAGTTAGCCGAGTCGATGGCAGTTTCAGTGAGACTGGGTACCGCTGTTCCATTACTTGAGGGGCTAGTAGGATGCTTCTCTTGCTTTTTCTCCTTCTGCACTATGTGGGCTAAGCGACGCGACACCGATAGGTCATAGATCGACTGCTCGACAGTGTCGGAGACCAGATACATCCAAACGGTGGTTGGCCGGTGCTGGCCAATGCGATGTACGCGAGCGATAGCCTGAAGCTCAATTGCGGTGTTTATCAGAGGCTCACAGAGAAAGACATGGGTGGCATTCACTAAGTTGAGACCAGAGGAATGTGCTTTGGCGTGTAAGAGGAAGCATTCAACCTTCGTAACGACGGGAATTTAGACGCTGCTTGCTAGACTTGATTGACAGGAAACTGGACTTACTGCAGGGTCACTTTTGAAGTTTTGGATACCATCTTTAGCGTCAACGCTGCTGAATCCAATTTTGAACCGGGAAAGCGCATTGGCGAGGATCTCAAGAAAGTTCTTATATTGGGAGAATACCACCGACTTGGCCCCGGGATCATGCTCCCGAAGCCATAAGATATGCCGTGCCAAAGTGTCGATTTTTGTGCCATAGGAGCTGTCCAGATCAATGTTTTTGATTTCTTTCAATGTGCTGGAGCTGATATCGGCATATATAGAGTTCTGCGAAGGACGTTCTAGTTCTAATTTACTTGGCGCTTTCTCCTCCTGCACGACAAATTCTTGTGGCTTATACGTGATTTGGTGGAAATCATTTGCTTTCAAGCGCCTTTTGCACGTGGGGCAAGTTCGATGCTGATGCCACCACAATCGCAAGCAGTCCTTGCAGTATTTGTGGCCGCAAACCGTCAAAACACCTGCAGTAAGTTAGCACCACAGCTATTTGAAGACCCTGGCTTTAACCTGTACAGCTGATACTGACCGACTTCGAACCCAGACTGACATATTACACATATCCTTGATGTCTCATCTGAGCCAGACTCATCTCGCAGATGTATTAAGTACCGACGTTTTGCTCGCAAAGAAGAGATTTTTTCGTCAATTTCACCCTCCTTCCTGAGCTTCGAAGTGAAGAGTGTCTCATCCAACGGCTTACCAACGCTGTTTTCATCATATGGGGCAACAGTGTCAGAGATCTGCTGCAGTTGACGATAATATTCAAGCCGATTGTTCATCGTATCTCGAAACATCTCAACCTCCCTCTCTAAGCTGGAAGCAGCCTTGGATTGTTCAGCCGCCAGTTGACTTGCGTGTTTTAGCACAAGACTGACAATTTCAAGCTCTGCACGCGCTCGAGAACTTCCTTCATTCGCTTGCCATTCGAGCGCGGTGGTCAGGCTGCGAAGCTCGCTGATAATGCCTCGAAGGGATCCGAGTTGCGGATCAGGCTTCATATTACTGCGGAGGTTCATCACTTCCAGGAATAGGGTTGGAGAAGGCCCTTCGCCTTTCTGTGCTTGGATAATTCCTTGCTTAACTTCATGGGCAATGAGAACATTTTTTTGTCCAGTCAAGCAATCGTGACGGTCGGCAAACATTGCGCGCAAGGCTTCCATATAAACGTACATTTCATCCTGGTGCTTGGTGGATTTTTCATACTCGTCACCTTCGAGCTCTGACTCATCCTCTTGGTCGATGAGCGACTGAGAAAGGAACTTTATCATGGTTTGACGCCATTTATCGTACTGTGCAGCATGCTTATTCATGGCTTCACAGAAGTCTTCGAATCTCTCAATCACGCGCCGACCTTCTAGCCCCGTGCTATATACCTGAGGTTTCATCTTGGGGATGCTCACAAACTCTTTCTTGTGTGACTTCTCCCTTATCAGTTTCATGTAATGTCCGACCTTTCGGGATATATCAACCAGCATCTCCTTCCGGATGGCCTTAGCTGTGGTATACGCTTCCTCTTCCTGTTTCTCTAGGAGTCTGAACTGCTCAGAATCATGTTCGATGAGCTTCGGATCTGACTTGATCTGGTAGTAAGCGTTTCCAATGAAGAATACACAGATGTGTTGAACCTCAAGAGCTAAGCGCAGCCTCTGACGATATGTACCAATGCGGCTGTTCTTTTCTGCTTCGTCCGCCTCATTAACACTTATTGAGTCTAGTGACACTGAATCTTGGTTGGCGTCCGCGGAGGTTACTCGACTCTTCATACGTTCCGTTTGCAATCGGTCCCGACATTCTTTAACGATCGCGCTTGCTCGTTCCAGGCACTCCTTCCAAAGTTGAAGTGCTTCATGCTTGCGCATCGCGTTCTCCAGCAACTGCCCCCTCCGAAGCTGAGACAGGAGCAAAGTGCGCTCTTCTGCATGTATGAGCACGTCATTCTGGTCGATCATAACCTCGAGCACCTCATTCACCGACCGTAGGGGACCGTTGTATCCAATGCCCAAAGTCCGGCGACCGGTGCCTGCAGGATGAAGGCAGGTTTGACGGAGCCTGACTAACCAACTTCGCATCTTCTCCACTACTGACGGATCATTAGGGTTCCAATCATCAGTGGTCGGGGCGCCTGATAAATCAAGGCCACAATCTTCGCACATCTGCTCGTACAGCTGGCTATAATGTTGCTCTTCCACTGCAGTGAAAGGGACAGTTATAACGACCCTCTTCTGTGGTGGTAAACGAAGCTCATCGCGAACATGATCTTTGCTATGGCGAAGGGCAATTGTGTGAACGATGTGTGCTAAGATAGATCGGAAAGACACACATAGCCTATTCCAGATGAAGCCACAATAGGGTTCGTAATGAAGAAAGAGCAACAGACCTAGAAGATCTGCAATATCCTTACGAAGAGGTGTTCCAGTTACTGCCCAAGCCAGTTGACGTGGAATCAGACGAGCAACCCTCGCTGCATTACTGACCCCGCTCTCAATCATCTGGGCTTCATCTAGACAGACCCGCCACCAGGATATCTGAACGAGCGGTGTTTTTCTTGCCTCAAAACGCTTCTCATGTCGCAGGTTTCGCTTTGGAGCATCACCAGAATAGTGGACCTCCCGAGCAAGAACGTTGTACGTAGTCAGCACAACATCGTGATCCGAGATCAGCTCGACCAGTTCATTATCTGCCAGTTTCTGATGACGTTGAATCCCTTCATAGTGATATACACTCAGCCCTGGAGCATGCAATTCAATCTCTTGCCGCCACTGCTCAAGAATTGCCGGGGGCGTTATAATCAAAGTCGCTCGTGACGGCTTCAGGCCGTCAACGCGGCTATGCTGACCTGCGTCTTCCGGGAACGTGAAGCGTCGATGTAGGCAAATCAAGGTGATCATCTCGACGGTCTTACCCAAGCCCATCTCCTCGGCCAGTACGCCGCCGTTGAGGACGTTCTCGGCATCATACCAGCTTGTGATACTGGAAGTAACAACCATGAATAACTGACTGGCGAAGCATTCTTTACCATCCGCATCAGTGAACCTAGTAAAAGATACTGGCAGGTCACTGGTAGAGTCCCGCTTGAAAGGAGCAATTCTCCCATCTGGTCGAAGTTCCACACCTTCCCTTTGCAACAGCCACCTGACCGCTCTTCTTTGGAAGGGGAAAAGCTGACACTCCAATAAGTCACACTTTATATCTGCCGATGAAGCAGGATTGTCTGATGGAACATGTACATTGTCATAGAAGTCACGTGGTGACCAACCTGTTGCACTCATATCTCTACGGTGCTTTTGTCGCGGATGTTCGAATATTGTGTCATCACCATCTCGCAAGATGTACCTCGAGAAGACATTTGCTGGACCAGCCAGCATCTTATTGATGTCTGGGACATCAAGGGAGTCTCTCCATATGATGGCCGTTTCCAGGCTGAACGTCTTCCTATCAGGCAAACAGCGAAGAGTGGATTGATAACAAACTGAAGGCACGTTCTTTTGGAAGTGATCGGCACAAGCAAGGCTTGAGGCGAGAGTTAAATGATTACCCAACCTGATGAGCTCAGGATCAGAGCTCTCAATAGTGAAAAATATTTCACGTCCCAAAACCGACACTAGTGCCAGGCTGAGACGGCTCTGCAGCACTTCACTTTGAACAGTAGCAGACTGGGTCTGAGCAACCCTATTTACATCAAGGATGACAGGTACAGTATCCAGCGGCTCGGTAGAACCGTCCTGTTCATTTCGATCATGAGTTGCAGAATCAAAGTTCTATCAAGCATTAGCGGACTTGGTCTAGGAGTCCCGGGATAGGCCGGCTCCTGTCACTCATGGAGAATACATACTAAGCGCAGATCGAAACGCGCCAGTGGTATATAACCTACTGGTATTAGCGAGTCCGACAGACCATTGAGCTCCCTGAGACTTCGAGTTGCCGAAGCCAGCTTGCGACGTTTACTCGGATGATCATGGGCCACTGGCTGCTGGGGCCTGATGAAGGCAGTGGCCAATGATTCTGGAACATTGCCTGAAGCATGAAGATTAGTAGGGAATTCGAAAAATGCCACCTTGAAAGAGGTTAAGGATTCGTACCAGGATAAGTCAGTTCTGCATTCAGTACAGTCATGCCGCCCCCCTCTTGTCTCTGACGCCTCAGATTGCCACCAGATGACTGTTGAGTCGAGTAATACTCTCCCACTGTTGCTCTCCGATACGGAGATCTGATAAGGAGATCTCACGTGCTGATAGGGATGGGTTATGTTAAGTCCGGAATTTTTCCGTCCCAATCATTAGCTTAGTCAGTCAACAAATGCTCCGTCATGGCCGGATCTGTGCTTCCAACAGCCTAGATAGGCTAGTTACCACAGAGGCCATGGAAACATGATTTGCAGGGACGTAGAATCTGGAATACCCGCTCATATATTTCGAATTTCATCTACTCTGATCACATCTAAGTCTCATACATATTTGCACGATGATCTCGAGCACCGCATGCCTCCTAGCTGTCAGTGTCCAATCCTTGCCCCTGTTGCTGGGATTACAGGGTTTCGCAAGTTGTTCACTTATTATAAGATCACGTGTGCCATATTTCTGTTTCTCTTGATGCTCTACAATCCTTCCAGGACTGGCGTCAGGCCTTTTCCATACTATGAAATCTTTTATTCTATCTGATCACCGCTTCACAGAATACTCCTTTCGTCCTTTAGGCCTATCTAGACCCTCAAAACTTCCCAAATCCTGTTCCAAGATCAGTGTTCCCAACTTTATTCCGCATGCGGCATCATTAGCTGGAATGTGTGGCAGGAGGCTTCTCGCGGACCTACACTGTCACTTCCTATTCTTGTATTGCTGGACATAGTGATCTTCCTTTTAGATACAGAGCCTACCGTTTTCGTGACCAAGTAAGTGCCATGAGCTGAATGAACGAGATGACGGGAATAATTGACAAAGTTATAGGCACAGTAGCAATATGCAAGACGTTTTTTCGCTTTCCTGTTTATAGAGAACGCCAAATCCTGTTGGCTAGTAGATGGTATTTAGCTGATATGACCGTTCCGGACCCTGAATGCGATTATGGCCCTCATGTCTTCCACATCACCCTCTAGAGCTGGAAGAGCTCCCTCAACTGCCTCATGGTGTCATCAGGGTCCTCAACGGAGTGACCGATCGTCCTAGGGTCACTGTAGATCTCGTAGTCATTACCACCGGGGAATGTCTTGTCACCGAAGAAGTGGATCGTCTTGTAATCGATACCCGTGATATCTTTCTCGGCTTCGACGTGTTGTAGGCAGTAAGTCTTGTCCCAGCCGGTCGGGAAAACGTCAAAAGAAATTTCACCACCAATGGAGTAGCTGTTCAGGAATGTTAATGACTGTAATGACCTGCGCAGTTACCAGAGGCCTGGAAATCCTTTTACATACCTTAGACCATAGTCAGGGAACTCCTTCTTGAGCGCATCTACAAGGTCTCGGCGGATGTTGTGAATCTTATCATACCTGCTCATGATATCAGTCAAAAGGTCCTGTCCTGTGAGCATCGAGCTACTGCTCGTATACATACGCTTCAAATTCCTTCCGCTCCTCGGTGCTGGCATTCCTGCCAATCGGGCTGACGTTGATCATACCATTGCGGAATTCAACGAAGGTGCCGCGCTTCTTAGGAATCTCCAAGTTGGCGATGTACTTGAGCAAGAAGTTGACCAACTTCTGGTATTTCTCCTCTCCCAGCCATTGGATGAAGCTGTTGCTGCGAAGAGGTTTGCCCAGGCGGAAAGCGGTCAATCCGTTCTCAGCGAAGCAGAAATCGAATAGGGTTGTGACGTCCGTAGTGTTTCTACCGAGCTGTTCTTGCTGCTTGGGAAGATTCGAGCCACCAACCTGACCATGTGAGACTGGGCGCTGACCCTAAGAAGGACGAAGACAACTAACGAATCCGATCGCGCACTTGTGACGCAGCTGAGAGAGAAGCGTGAGCATCTCCGGGGTAACATTCTAAAGTCGGAGTAAAGAAGTGGTTAGTCTTTTAGAGCATTGAGCGGATAAACAGAGCAATTCCAGGTAATAAGGGTTTCATTCTTGCGTACTTACAGCTCTGGCAGGCGTTAGCGTCTTGTCGACATCGAAGAGACAGATTGTGCCCTTGAGGGGGCGGTCCTGCAGGGCAGGATAAACGCCGGCTGCTTCGGTGGCCATAATGAATATAGATATGGAAGAAGGTTGGGGAGCAAGGTAAGTGAGAGAGACTCTGAAGCCAAAGGCGCAATTGATCTGAGGGGCAATTGGACTATGTTTCTTTTCAGGGGCGGACGTTGTGACAGCCGCATGCGGTGAGCTGGAGGGACAAGCGGGGGTTCCAGACAAACATTCTTACGGCTTAACCGTATCGGGCGGCTTCCAGACGGATAGGCAGTGAGGCATCAAGGCCAGGCCCAAGGCGGTCAATCTCCAAATTTTCTCCATACGGATGATCCACGTGGGGCTTGCTTCGCTTATCGATAAGTGTGATAAGCTATGCAGTGATTGTTAAGAACATCGCAGGGGAAGGTGTACTAAATGGTACTTTTATTGCCATTGCCATTGTGCCTATTCCTCTTTCATCAGTAGTCAATTGTATCTCTGATCCCAAGGGTACAAAATATCCAGAGTGTATACATATCCCATTAAGACTAGCTACAGACCAATAAACCTCTATTATATGAGGCAGACAACAACGCCAGACTAACTCGAACTCCTTATCATCGAATGAAAGTTCAGCGGCCCATAGTCGTCTGAAAAACCTTGGCTGCTAATTCACTCAAAAGCCGTGCACGATCGGTCTGAGGAAGCTGGAGGAAGACATCGTAAACACTCTTTCCTTTGGCATCTCGCACTGCACCAAGACGATTGCCAGCAACTGCGCCAGCCAATGCTCCAGGAGCATTGGCTACGATAAAACCGAGAGCACCACCACTAATTCCACCTATAACGGACCAGAACCGAGACGTCGGGTGTGAACGAGTCTGACCGTCAGCATCTGTGCCTTCGCTGGCTAGGCCCTCTTCACGCAGCATTTCTTCAAACACCGACCCGAATTGCTCGGATGCGCGTTGCTCACTATCGGCCGAGCCAAAGCCAAAAGCAGACCAGGGGAATCCTCCTGCACCTCCACGGGGTACTTCCTCCTCTTCCTCCTCGACACCGCCTGCCATCCTCATCGCATCATACTCCCGTCGGCGTGATACATCTGACAACGTGTAATAAGCATCGCTAATCTCCTGGAACTTGCGTGTCCGAGCCGCCCTCTCTGGTGAATCGACAGGAACTCTGTCTGGATGAGACTTCAGGGATTCCCTGCACGGTTCAGAACTGAGCATAGTTGCACCTTGATGAATACTGACTCACCTTTTGTATGCATTGCGAATTTCTTGTTGTGTTGCTTTGGGAGACACTCCCAGTATCTTGTCTATATTCAGCCTTCATTAGTTACAGCACTTTCTATACAGTATCTAGACGTTGGCATCCCGTACAATAATCGCGTTGTTCTGATCCACAGTCAGTTCATCCGTTAGAACCATAAAGCACGTTTGTGTGCACTTACTAGGCATGTTTAAGGGCCTCTATGATAACTGACGTGTTGTGCTTCAGAGTCAGATGGTTAAGGGCCAGATAAGTGTAGCTTTTTTCGTGTCCACTCTTCCTGAGAGGTCATGACTCGGCGGGGGAGATGACGTCGACGAGGGATTCCTGCCTGAGGCAATAGGAAGCACGGGACGAAGGTTCGACCTTTTCCTGCAGCTCGGTTCTGACTAAACAACAGAGACGGGAAGCCCCTGAGCGCAGCACCAATCATGGGGATGGCACCAAAGTTAGGATGCCCGGAACCACCGTCACCAGCCACTCGTAGAGAGCGTTGTACGTACGCTGCAGATGCTAGCCACTGCTAGGAACACACTAGAGAGGAGGCACAGTTCAGTGGTTAGTGATGGTTTTCAGCTTTGCCTCCTGCGCAGACGGGGAGTCTCACCTAATCCCCTCCCCCTTCATTTCGTTTTAACTTCCCTCACACGGCTCGCCGTGCTACTTCAACTCTCTCAATTGCACGCTCTTAGACTCGGTTTTGTCTCTGACAGATCCGATTTACTGTCAAATTCAATTGACGACAGTATAAAGCACTCCAGCTTGTGACACGTCCAATTTCCGTACCGCAGTTCAGCTGTGGAGCTGGCCAAAACGGCTGAACCTCAAATTGTGTGCATTTGCAGCACGCTACGACTCCGCAATAGCGCGATTGCTTTTTACAGGCTTCACCAGCACACAATACATCCAGAGGGATCATACTTTCGTGCCTCCAGCCGTCTTTCTCATTAACGCTATTCAACTAATTCTCTTGGGAAAGTACTGTGTCAGCATTGGCCGAGATTCCAAACCTGACTTTGCCAATAAGTCGTTCAAGGTACCCATAATCAGGAACACCGATTCAAGATGGGCTGGTTTGATGGAAAATCTTCATCATCGTCTTCCCACCGCTCTCATTCCCGCCGACCCTCTTCCCCCTCACGACGGTCCACTTATTCAACCCATCATCCTCGTCACTCCGCTCCGTCGATTTTCAGTCTGAATGGCGGTGGTAGTCGCGTCGGACGAACCAGCCCGTCCGTGCTCTCTTCGTCCTCATCGCGGCGCGCACGGCCCCGATCAGGCTTCGTGCAGCGGGTGGTCCGCTACATCAAACGCTTGCTCCGTGACATCTACGACTATGCACGTCGGAACCCGGTGAAGGTTCTCATGCTAGTTGTCATACCGCTCCTTACCAGCGGTGTGCTGCAGAAGTTGCTCGCCATGATTGGCATCCGACTACCAAAGGGGCTTTTTGGCGGGAATTCATCGAAACCCAGCGGCAACAGCATGTCAGACAACATCAAGGGGCTCATGAACATTGCGAAAATGCTGATGTAGCTGTTGGGGCATTCCGTCTTTGGCCTCTGTATTCCAGCGCCTCTGCACTTCCATGCATGGATGGCAATATCAGCGGGAATTGGTCAGAAAAGATAGATACGATACGACCATGATACGATGATGACGATACGACACAAACTTGACCTGATGCTTCTAGGTTATGATGTCCGTTGGCGGTTGCAGGTATTTCCGAAGGGTTATGTTCCTGATACGTTTTGATATTTACCGTTTACGGTGTTATGCAAATGTTCAAGTATTTAGACACAATTTCAATGAAACGTCCCCACGGCCTTCTGGCCTTCAAAGATACTTTTGGACACCAAACTCTATTTGTACACTTGCATTGGCAAGGATGTTCGTAAACCTTTGGAGCAGGCATTGAACCACAGGGAATACCGCATATAATGTAAGCGGGTTTCTCTGTCTATGTCGGATTTCTTACGATCTCTGAGACCGCTTTCCCCGCCTCCTTGCCTTAGAAGACCTTGCAGAGCTGGCGGCGCCTTCAGTCGACTCCTCCACGATTTCGGAAGGTTCCTCCTCCGACTCAGCACCGCTATCCACGGCATTGGAAGAACCGAGCAACCTGCCAACCGTCTTAGAGTAAACCCAGCCCGGCAAGCGGAAGACCAGCGTGTCACGGATTGTCGGACGCTGAATCTCATCAACGTCGAGCAAGAATTCCTGACGTTCGCCATCTTCCGTTTCCTCCTCCAGGAACACATTTCCAAGAGAGTCGACAATCAGTACCTTCCCATTCTCGGCAATCACTTTTTTCCTCTCCCCGCTGGGCTCCATTTGAGGCTCAGAAGTAGGCGTAGCCGTTCCCGAGTTCCGGGATGCCGCCCGGCCGCCTTTCTTGCCCTCCTTGCGGTTCTCCCTGTCCATCATGCGCTTTTGACGGCGGTTCATAGGCATAGCACTCTGTTCGGGCTCCGGTGCCGGTGCCGGAGTCGGAGCAGGAGCCGAGGCACCATCAAGACCGGGGATACCCCGGACACCAGACTCATCACCCCAGGCAGCTCTCCTCGCTTGACGGATGTAACGATCGACGAATTCCCGCTGACGCTTCCAGCCCAGCACCAAAGCAGCATAGTGCGCACCACCACCGAAGACCAAGAACAAGCCAATAAGCACGGATCCCAAACCGGGACGAAATCGCGAATAGTAGTATCCGGTTCCCTTCCACTTGGGGAAACCGTTCTTCAGGAAATGGTCGTAGCGCTCGCGACCCGGGCCACGGAGGATATTAGCGACGGTGTTGAGGCGAGCGGAGCGCTCATGTGCCTCCTTCACAGCAGCGGCGATTTCCCGCTTCGAAGGACCCTGGTTGACATGGACACCGGACTTGGAGGACTTGGAGCGAGACTTGTCCTTGGAGCTGTTGGCGATGAAAGACCGCTTGACTTTATCGGGGTGCAGGAGTCGGGACTTCTGACGGTAAGCCTTGCTCAGTTCGTCTTGGTTGGCGTTGGGTTTGGCGCCGAGGAAATCTGTCCGTTTGGAAGATGATCAGTGGCGGAGGACTTTGGAGATGGATGGGGAGTTGTTTGTTCAGGGGGAACGTACCGTAGAATGTCACATTGGGACCTTCCGCAGCGGCGAGTTCGTCATTGAGACGAAAGATTTCATAATCTGGAGAGTCGCAGAGTTTTTAGTATGCGATATAAGAGAAGTTTGCGGGATAGCAGAAAGAAAAAGAGCAGCAACTGACCTTCTTTAGTCCAGGCCGCGGCCAGCACAATCAGGGCTACAAACACAAACAGACGAAGCGCGATAGACTTCATCGTCGAAGAAGGGAGCGGTCAAGCCGCTGGACCCAAAGCGAAAGGGAAGAGAAAGAATGGAACGAAGGGAGCAGTGGAGAACAATTGGTGCGCCAAACAAAAGACTACATGCAACTCATGTTCCTGATTTGATGGTGAGGTACTTTGTAACCTGTTCTTCTCCAAAAACGAGATAACTAGGTGGAATCCTCAGGCCACGATACCACCAAAGCAATGATCTGTCATCAGGCAGGAATGGCGTTACGCTTACGTGACGAGAGAGCTAGGCCTAGAATGGGCAAATCCGGGTTCACCGCCCAGATCGGTATGGAACGCCTGAAACAGAATTACGGTACGGGTCCAGTGGAGTCTGCAGCTGCACGACGTGGTCCAATAAAGGATCCAAAGCCAGATGAGGAGAAATCGACAAGAGGAGATAGGTAGATGGAAATGTGATTGATACCTAATGTTTGCAGAAGTGGCTATTCCAACTCAGAGGCTGGCTGGCAGAAGAGGGAGGGGGTGGTGGTGGTGGACAGCTGGGTTTAAATTCAAGACAAATCCCCTCTGGCAGTTGTAGTGGATAGTGAGTTACTGGGTGCTCATCTTCCTCGTTTACTATCTGGAACAGGGTATATCAGACATGGCATTGGAAGAGCAGTGGAAGATGATCGAGGGGGTGTGATTGAGATGGCTACTTGAGTAGTCAGCCCTCAAGAGTGATCGTCTATTTCTCTTTCTATCTAGATCTCTGCTTCCGCATCCAGCTTCGGAGGGTGTGTCTCTCTCTTCTCTCCACCCATTGCTGCCCTGCTTTCTATTCTTAGCGGGCCTCATCCACCCTGTATCTTGATTGGATTCGACGGTCCATGAAACCGGAGCAGTGACTGGAGCAGTGACTCAAGTGTTGGATCCAAACGTGCCTTGTTTACTTGCCTGGCCCTCCATTCCTCCGATACCTTATAAGAAGGACCCGAATCCACTTGTCTTCGCAATTAACCTTCTTTTGTTGCTGGGCGGTACCTCTCAAGCCTTTTGCAAGGCGGATCGGTACCTGGAGGGTACTTACTTCAGTTACTTTGTCTGTGCTTCCCGCCTGGATCTCCCGGGGGGGAAACCACGAAAAATACCGAGACCAGTACTGGAATACGCCTAGACCAATTCGGTGCTCCAGGCTGCCAAAACGCCTCGTTGGTTTTGCTTTCGGGCCAGCTAAGCCGCTTCCAATCTTCCTCGACAAAAACATTCCCCGGTGTTTCTCTCACTCTCTCGGTCCTTCCCCCTTTTCTCTACTGCTTTTACTACTCTTCATCTCCATCAAACTACCGTCACCAGTCTTCTCATACCTATCATTTGATTTCACTCAATTACGTTTCTCCTACCTTATCCTCCAAACCCAACCACCCCGAATCTTCAAAAAATGCCTCTCCAGATCCCCATTGATGCGATTACCTCGCGCTTCGGCGAACGGTTCAACAGCGTCCGCTCTCAATCCCTCGGCACGCGCTTTGCCAACCTGCGCCCTATCTCCGAATTCCTGGACATCAAGCGTGTCTCCAAACCCGCTCATTTCGGCGAGGTCCAGAGCCGTGTGAACTACAATTTGTCCTACTTCTCCAGCAACTATGCCGCCGTCTTTGTGATGCTCAGCATCTACAGCTTGCTGACCAACCCCCTGTTGCTCTTTGTCATCATCCTGGTCACTGGTGGTCTTTACGGCATCGGAAAGCTCCAAGGTCATGACCTGGAACTGGGCTTCGCCCGGTTTAACACCTCCCAACTGTACACCGGACTGCTAATTGTCGCGGTGCCTCTGGGGTTCTGGGCCTCGCCCATCTCCACGGTGCTCTGGCTTATCGGAGCCACCGGCGTGACTGTCTTCGGCCACGCCGCTTTTATGGATAAACCAATCGAGAATGCTTTTTCCGAGGAGGCGGTCTAGGTGGTCGGCCGCGAACTCCTTACGGTACGCCCCGATGGGGAAGACCACCGGGGGCACGAGTGGGGAGACAAACCAGACGTGTAGCTCCGTGGGTGGACGGTGCGGCACGGATCGAGGAGATTGACAGCGAAGAGGAGGAGGATGCATACGCTCGATCAGTGTATGCAAGGCAGTCGGCGGGTCGGGACGAGGGTGGAGAGTCTAGGTTGCGCAGGCGGAGGATGGATTACGACGATTATGTGGATGAGATGAATTCGATCGATGGGATGGACTATGATCTGCGTGAGGACATGGACAGCACGGTGGCATATGCGGTTCAGCTAGCCATGAAGGATAAGGAGGAACGGTTGGTGGATCAAGCCTTGGAACGGATACGACGCGCTCAAAAGCAGGGCCAGAAGAACGTACGACTATCGGGTCGGGAAATGGAAGCGCTGGAGCGCAAGCGCATGCAGGCAAACCGGACCCCTGATCACGATTACCGGAATACAAGTCCCCAGGTTTCTCCCGGTGGCAGCCGATCCTCGAAGCCGCCGGATAGCCCCAGCAGCAAAAGGGGAGCGCAGCGGAGCGGGTCCAATGCCTCGGCAGCGCACAAGCATAGCATGCCCTCACCATTAGCCGAAAACAACGCTGCTTATGCGTTCTGGGCCTGGACCTCGGGGGCCTCTGGCGGATCCCCAGCTTCTGCACGTTCGCCATCTGCCCGCACGCCTACAAGCCAAGCACCGCCTCGATCCCCACTTCAGCCAGCCTACGCCTTCGACCGTCTGGCTTCAGTCCCCCAGATTCGCACACCGGCGGGCGTGAAGAGTCCCTCTGTGCGTTCCCTCCCTGATGATCCACAGTGGGCGCCTCCGTACCCTCCGCCGTATACAAGAGAACCGCCTCCGTACCCGACCGATCGTCGGCGCCCCGATCCAACTTCATACATGTCAGGCTACCGCAGCGTCTTTAACGATTCTGCTCGTAGCAACAGGCGAGGTGTGACTGCTATGCCGGGGGCTGCGACGGAGGAGCGTCTCAGTCCAGAGGAAGAAGAGGAGCAAGGAAATAGTTCCGATGACAGCGCCATGGTTGAGCGCCGCGTGGCTGGCGGTACGCCGACACGGGGGCCAATCGGGCGAGGCAGTCGTCCCCGGAGCAGTCGACCTTGAAACCCCCCCCGAATCGTGCCCTTTCAAACGTTGTTTTCTTTTCTATCATGGGCGGCTCATGTCGCAGTTGGGTTGGCCTTGATTGTCTCTTGCGCGGTTTCCCATGGTTGATTTTCTTACGCCGATAAAACGTAACGGAGTTCGTCTAAAGCGGGTACCTGAAATGATGCTATTGATAGTGATTAATTGTTCTCCAGAACTCATATTAGTAATGTAACGCGTAGGGAGGTCCCAAGTAGATCGTGGTGGCAGTGATGTATCCCTGCTGACGAGGGAGCAAGACGAACTCGTGATACAGTTCATGCAAGTCACCGTGGCTGGTGGCGGGTTCCCGAAACCTAAACGGACCATCAGATTTAGCCGGAGGTAAGAATTGCAACGACTGCATAGGACGATCCGGACCAAATCGTGTCTGCCTAGACTGAGCAAACAATGGAGGAAGAGTTACTTGAGAAAAAGAGTCAGCAAGCAATCAAGATAGATGATCGAAGGAAGGAGGAATTGGGCACGAAATGCGAGGAACCGCGAGCCGATGACGTCGATGAGGTCATACGGTAAATTGGCTGTGCAAAGAATGCCAGCTTCTGCTTTGCTTCGACTCAGGATTTACTTTTGCAGAGCTTCCGACCCAGCCGGCGTCCATTGGATAGACTTTGGGATCTACTCTTCAGCAGTGATGACACTCTCCTGGTCGGTGGGCCCTTTTCGTCGTCACCATCTGGGGAGTTGCGTGTTAACTTAAAGACGGACTCGGCCTCTCCACCGACCCAGTCTTTGATTCTTCTTTTCTGTTAGTCACTCCTTTATTTATTAGTTACTCTCTTCCTCTCCTCTGCGGCCAACAACCCCCCTCCTCCTCTCCTCTTCCCCTCGCTGCCAATTCGTCTTCCTGTTGTCGGGCAAGGTGTCACCAACGCAGTCGATGCTGTCTACCTCCTCTCCCTGTTGACCCTCGGATCCATTAATTGTCGACAAGCCACTTCCGCCCCTTCCGGCGCCGCGTTCCGCCCGATCGCCCATCGCTAGCACATCTTATACCTCGATAATCTTTTCACGGCAGCTCTTCTTCTTTTTCTTTTGGCAGCAACCGTTGCTACCGTGCGCTGATTGTTACCCTTGCTTGCTGGGACATTTATCACTTTATTGGAAGAGGGGAGGGAATATAGAAATAAATTAGCGAAAATGTGGATTATATCATTTTGGATATTCCCGATTATCTCGGCGTGCACATGGATTGGTAGCGTCTCCTCCTATATAACTGCGAGTAAATATTTCCGACGGACACTGACAAGGTTGTTCTAGCCATGTTAATTGCGATGCTGGCCACCTGGGCCAGAGAAGGATCGCCGATATATGCCAGTATGGAGACGGGTCAGACCATTGCGTAGGTGTCACGCGACCTTAGATATGGCATGCGACTGCGATGCTGATTATACACCTTTTGTTCATTTCTAGGTATATTTCCGACGTTGGAGCACAGGGACTGAAGCCGCTCTTCATTGCGGGCAGCTGCGTCACCGTCGTTTTCCTTGATCTCTCTTTCCTGTCCGAACGCTGGTTGCGACATGCCGGTCAATTGGTCCCGAACAAGGGCAAGTTCGACAAGGCCTGCGCAATCGCATCCATTTGCTTCTCGATCGCCGGCGCCTTGGGACTGATCCTACTTTCGATCTTTGATACTCTTCGTCATCCGCACATGCATGATGGCTTTTTGATCATGTTCTTGTTAGTGTTTGATTGCGCATGCGAGAGAAAGACCATTCCGAGGCTGACGTACCTGTAGGGTCGGATACCTGATTAGCGCCATTCTCATTTGCTGCGAATACTGGCGTCTGGGGATCTTTTATCGCTCCCAGCATAAAGTGCTCCTGGCCAGTTTCATCATCAAACTCTCATTTGTTATCATTGAAATTGCGCTGGCCATTGCTTTTGGTGTCCTCGGCAACAAGGGTGGTCATTACCGGAACGCAGCGGCAGTTCTGGAATGGGGTGAGTGACCTGGGAATGACTCTCGGGAAATATAGATAGATCGACTAACTGGAAACAGTGATTGCGCTCA